GCTCGTGGACGGCGGGGCGCTCGGACCTGGCCTGGGGTGAGGCTGCTCCTCGGTCGGGCGAGGGGCGCGAACTGTGTCCCGATGACTGTCTTTGTGCGTCCAGCCTCAACGAAGCTGAGGCACGATCCCTCGAAAGTAAGTCTGGAGAAAGGCAGCCGGCTAACAGCCTGCCTGCGGAAGAAATATTTTCTCTCCCAACAATCCTGTGGTGCGGGGTCCTCGTTTTGCAAAAGACAGCGGCACGAGTCTCCTTCCTGCCCTCTCGATGCCCCTTACTCTCCTGTTCCCCTCCTTCCTCCCTTCCTTGCTTCTGCCCCCCTCCCCCCTTGCTTCTGATTTCCGCATGCCCAGTACGGCACACCCCTCACACATTTCCTGGTCCCTCAGGAGGCTCCACCGAAGGCCCCAGCGGCAGGGTTCGTCTGCGGCTCCCCGCCCATTTGGGCACACCCTTCACACGCTCCGTGGCCCCAGAGGAAGCTTCACCAAAGGCCCCAGTGGCAGGCAGGGTTCGCATGCGCCCCCCACCGTTCGGCACACCCTTGACACGTCCCGTGTCCCCAGAGGAGGAAGCTTCACCGAAGGCCCCAGTGGCAGGGCTCGCATGCGGCATCCCGCACATTTCGGCACGCCTCTCAAGCGTTTCGTGTCCCCCAAAGGATCTCCACCGAAGACCCCAGTGGCAGGGTTCGCATGCGACTCCCCGCTCATTTGGGCACACCCCTGACACGTTTCATGGCGCCATGGGGAGCTCCACCGGAGGCCTCACTGGCAGGGTTCGTATGCGACTCCCCTCCCGATTCGGCACACCCCTCACACGTTTCGTGGCGCAGTGAGAAGATCCACCGAAAGCCTCAGTGGCTGGGTTTGCATGCGGCTCCCCGTCCGATTCGGCACACCCTTCACACGCTCCGTGGCCCCAGAGGAAGCTTCACCAAAGGCCCCAGTGGCAGGCAGGGTTCGCATGCGCCCCCCACCGTTCGGCACACCCTTGACACGTCCCGTGTCCCCAGAGGAGGAAGCTTCACCGAATGCCCCAATTGTAGGGTTCGCATGCGTCCCCCCGCCCATTTGGGCACGCCTGTCATACGTTTCGTGCCCCATGAGGATCTCCACCGAAGACCCCAGTGGCAGAGTCGCATGCGGCTCCCCGTCCGATTCGGCACACCCCTCACACGCTCCGCGGCCCCATAAGAAACTCCACCGAGGGCCCCAGTGGCAGGTTTCGCTTGCGACTCCCCGCCCAAGTCGGCACACCCCTCATATTTCTTCGTGCCCTCATAGGGAGCTCCAGCGAAGGCCCCAGCTCCCCGCCCATGTTGGCACACCCCTCACACGTTTCGAAGCCCGATAGAGGGGGCTCCACCGAGGGCCCCAGTGGCGCAGTTCGCATGCGTCGCTGGGCCTATTTTGGCACACCCTTCTCATAAATTTCGCCGCCCACCAGGAACTCCACCGAAGGCCCCAGTGGCAGGGCCGCATGCGGTTCCAGGCCCATTTCGGAGCACCCCTCACACGTTCCGTGGCTTCACAGGGAGCTTCACTGAATGTGACATTCACCAGTGCGGAGCCCACTGCCTATGGTTGGGCCCCTCGCCAGGAAAACTCCTAGCTGGGGCCAGGGTGTCAAAAAGGTCCTCTCAGACGGGCCCGCCCTAAGGGGGGGATTCGCCGGACTCCCTCGCCCGCCCATTTCCCTTCAGTGGTGTGCGGTCTGGTAAGTCTTCGGGCTGCGCGCAGACAGCCCCACCAGGTAGTCCCAGCAGGCCTCAACAGGCTTCCCCCGAGTAGTCCAGGCTGGTCCTGGGGACGCCGCCGCAGGCGGCTCTAGGGTGTCGAGACCGCCCCAGACTTCTCGGGGGGCTTGCTGAGTCCAGCCGCGACTATCTGGGGGGGGGTCCTGTGCGCAACTCGAAACCTAACCACTCAGTGTCGTGCAGTACTCCTCCTCTTGTCACTTCTCCTCCTCCTCCTCCTCCTCCTCCTCCTCCTCCTCTTCCTCCTCCTCCTCCTCCTCCTCCTCATCCTCCCCCCTCCTCCCCCTGCTCCTCTTGACGCTAGGCGAACTCAAATCGACCGGGCTCGTGGCGTCTTCTCCCCTGCCCTATCCCCCTCCTCTCGGCTTTCAGGAGGTGGTGCACGCAATTGCCTGCTCCGCCTTCCCCCTCCATTTTCCAGAGAGATCTGAATGGCGGCCCCTCCGCCGACGCGGCGGCTCTCGGTACAACCCAGAAGCCACCCGCAGGCAAGCCAGCCGTATAGTTCTACGATGGACCGCTGCGTTCATGCTGCCTCGCAGAGTTTGCGGCAAGTCAGTGGCGAGCTGTTGGGACCTCCAAGCGCCTTGTCCTTGTCCTCCTCCTCCTCCTCGTCGTCCTCCTCCTCCTCTTCCTCCTCCTCCTCCCCTCCCCCTCCCCCTCCCCCTCCTCCTCCTCCTCCTCCTCCTCCTCCTCCTCCTCCTCCTCCTCCTCCTCCTCCTCCTCCTCCCCCTCCTCGGCAGGCCAGCCGCTCTTCCCGCAGCAGCAGCAGACGCAGCCTGCGCCGCAGCAGGGCGGCGGGCAGCGGGGGGCCCCAGCGGCTCCCAGCCCTGCGAAGGAGGCGACCCGCGGCATCCCGCCGAGGAGCAGGCAGCAGGAGGCGGGGAGGCAGGTGGCAGGAAGCGGATGCGGGGGAGGAGGAGGAGGAGGAGGAGGAGGAGGAGGAGGAGGAGGAGGAAAGGGAGGAAGAGGAGGACGATGAACGAGGGGGGGCAAGGGGGGAGGGGCGAGGGGGAGTGAGGAGGGCAGGGAAGAGGAGGAGCGAGGGAGGGGTGGGAAATGAGTTAGGGGGGAGAGACGGCATTGGGGGGGCATGAGGCGGGGAGGCAGGTGGCGAGATGATTACGGCCCCGTTTCTGGCGGTTCTCGGACGGTTTCGACCGTTCTCGGCGGTTCTTCGGCCTTGGGGGGCTCTCCAGTATCTGCGCTTGGGGTGTCCGAACCGACCCGAACGGCTCTCGGAGACAGGTCCAGACCTCTGGAGAACCACGCTGTGAAAACCACACAACGTCGGAGGTTGTTTTGGATGAGGAGGAGGAGCGAGGGGCCGAGGGGTCGAGGGGGGCGTGGAGGAGCGATGGTGGGGAGGGGCGAGGAAGAGCGAGGGAGAGAGGGGGAGGAAGAGAGGGAGAGGGCATGGGGAGAGGCGCCGACCAGTGCGGCCAAGGAGCAGGATCAAGGACATGGGAGCATGGACTAAGGCAGGTGGATTCGCGACGGGCTCCGTCTTCGATCTATTCCACGAAGTGGGGCACTTCAGTTTCACAACGCCGAGACGCACGCATCGGCCTTGGCAACGAGGCGGACTCGCAGTGCTTTGCCGACTGTGGGCAGTTTCACCACGCAGCCTGCGTTCCACAGGTGTCCAGGCTGATTCTTGCATGGCCGTCAGGAAAAATCGGTCTCGCTGGCGCTGCGTATAGATCCCCGCCGCGGCGTGGAATGGGAAGTTCTGGCAGAGGAGGGGGAGGAGGAGGAGGAGGAGGAGGAGGAGGAGGGGGAGGGGGAGGAGGAGGAGGAGGAGGAGGAGGAGGAGGAGGAGGAGGAGGAGGAGGAGGAGCCCACCAGGGCACGCTGCTGGCCTTCTGCCACTCCGCCCCCCCGCCCCGTCTCCGCGCCCCGACCCCCCCGCGCAGCCCATGCGCGCTGGCCTCCGAGCCGCCGGGGCCCAGCGGTGTCGATTGGCGCTCGGCGCATCCTTCGGGCCCCCTTCTACGTTCGTCTAGACGTAAGAGTGACCTTTCGCCGGAGTGACCTTTGGCGCGGGCACAGATGGGTCCCCAGATGGCTAAAAACGAAGCAGGAGCAACGGCTTGCGCGCCCAGGTTTGGTCCCCACGCGGCCCCCTAAAAGCCGCGCACCAAAGTCACTCTTACCCAGGGTCACTCTTGCGTGTAGCCGATACGTCCCCTTCGCTAATCTATGTTGCTTTTCCATGTGTGCGTCGTGCTTTAAAGAACTGGCGACTGACACCAGGGATTAGTGGGGCGGCCCCAGACATGTTTGTGATGTGCTCGATGGGGGCCTGGGTCCTGTGCGCTGACCCATTGGTGCAATCCCCAGGGTCCGTTTCACTAGCCCATGAGTTCACGGCCTCGTCCGACCAGACGGCGGCCGTCAGGGCAAAGGTCGAGTCTCGCAGTGCCGCTGGCCTAGCCCACGAAGTCCGCCTCCGCAAGTTGACGCGGTTTAGTGGGCGCGCGCAGGCGGGGCGTGGCCGGAGCCGCAGCAGGGATTGGTCATACCTTCGTAAAGCCCCGAACCACCTTGCGCAGATGGCAACCGACTGCACTGCAAACACAGTGCAACGGGAATCCGACGACATCGTTGTGGCGTTCCGTCATGGGGTGGGCGTGTCGATCGACTACTAGATTTGATTATGCCCGAGTCGCAGATCCACGGATCACTAATCCATGTTCGCGTTCTGCCTGACAGGAGGAGGAGGAGGAGGAGGAGGAGGAGAAAGAGGAGGAGGAGGAGGAGCAGGAGGAGAAGCGGGGCTCCAGTGCAGTCGCAGTGGGGTCGTTTAAGGATCGCTCCTCCTCTACAACACCCCTCCCTCCCTCCTGCTCCTCCTGCTTCTGCTCCTCAGGCGGTCGTGGTGCGTCGAGCCGCCTTCCGGCTTGCTCCCGCCCGGGATCCCGGCTCCCAGGAAGGCTTTCGGAGGCCGACGAGGGCCAAACACGTCGAAATTCTTCCCTCCCTCGACCCGCGAGGGTCGAGGGAGGGGGGGGACTCGGACGTAGGGGAGAAAGAGGAGGATGGGGAGGAGGAGGAGGAGGAGGAGGAGGAGGAGGAGGAGGAGGAGGAGGAGGATAAGGAGGACGAGGAGGACGACGAGGACGAGGAGGCGGAGGACGAGGAGAGGAGGACGAGGAGGAGGAGCACAGCCAAGTCGACGAACTCAACCCTCCTCCTCCTCCTCCTCCTCCTCGTCCTCCTCCACCTCCTCCACCTCCGTCCTCCCCGTCCGTCCCTTGGAGAACAACAGATCGGCACACGGATACACTTTCGGAGGTCTTCCCGGACCTCCCACAGTGCACGTTTATGAATTGGTTCGATTTTTACAAGGCGGCGAGGACTTCCCTCCGAACGGGCCCGACGTAATCGCTCTGGCAGCCGTCCTGGCAGCCCTCTCACGAGGGGAACGCCCTTGGGTCAGCCAGAGGCTTCATGACCCGGAAGGCGGTCGCCACGGACCCCCCACCCGAGAGGAGGGAGGTGGGAGGAGGACGAAGGGGAGCGACGACAGATCGAGAGGTAGGGGGAGCGATCAGGGAAGAGGTTCGAGTGAGAGGGAGCATGGAGGGAGGACAGATGACGATGATAACGAGGATGTTTTTGATGATGTTGGTTATGATGGTTTGATGATTCTGATATGTGCTGTGCTGATGTTGAAACTAGCCAGGATGATGGTGATGATGATGCTGCTGATGCTGATGATGTTGATGATGATAACGATGGTGCCGATGCCGTTGAAGATAAGTTTATTGATGATCATGGTGATGGTGATGTGTATGATGTCGCTGCTGCTGATGATGCTGATGGTGTTGGTGATCGTGATGGTGATGATGATGACGATCATGGTGATGATGATGGTGATGATGACGATGATGACGATGATGATGATGATAATGACGACGACGATGATGCTGAGGATGATGATGATGATGATGCTGATGATGATTATGATGATGATGATGATGATGATGATGATGATGGTGGTGATGATGATGATGATGATGGTGGTGAGCTGGCCTCCCAACCCCTGGGAGGCCAGCAGATGAAGATCTCGAGGGGCGGGCATGCAGGCATGCGCACAAGAGAGCCTGCCCCGCCGCGGCGTCCGCCTCCCACCATCCTCGTTTCACGATGCCTGCCACCGAACTTCGCAGCGCCGGCGAGCCTCCTACCCATGGGCGGCAATGAGGTTGGGGTCGTCTGGATGGGGGGGGGTATCGGGGGGAGGAGGGAGGGGGGAGAGGAGGCCCCGAGAGAGGAGAGATCGAAGACAGGTGGCGGGGAGGGACGGGGAGAGAGTGATAGGGGGAGTGAGGAGGGAAGGGGATGGAGTGAGAGGGAGCATGGATGGATGGTGGATGATGGTGAGGATGATGGTTAATAGCGATGAATCGAATGATGATGAACATGATGGTGGTAGTTGCGACGATAATGAGAAACTTGCTGCTGATGCGGTTGTTGCTGATGATGCATGATGATGGTGCTGATGATGATGATGATGATGATGATGATGATGATGATGATGATGATGATGATGATGATTCTGATTATGAGGGGGAGGAGGAGGAGGAGGAGGAGGAGGAGAAGAAGGATGAGAACGAAGACGATGATGATCACGACACCTATGCTGCTGATGATGTTGATGATGATGCTGATGAGACGTGGTGGTGGATGGAGGTGGACGTTGCTGTTGAAACTGATGATGGTGGTGGTAAGTATGGTGGTGGGGTTACGTGTGCTGGCGAGGATGTTGGTGATGATGATAATGACGACGATGATGCCGATGCTGATGATGATGATGATGATGATGATGCTGGTGATGGTGTTGGTGGTGGAGGTGGAGTCGATGAATGAGTGGGTGAGTGGGTGGGTGGGTGAGTGAGTGAGTGTGAGTGATGACGATGAGGATCCTTGCGAATATGATGTTGCTGCTGATGCTGCTGATGTTGATGATGCTCATGATGAAGAAGCAGATCAGGACGATGATGTGGAGGAGGAGTGTTATGATGATGATAAGGAGGAGGAGGAAGACGAAGATGAAGATGATGCTGCTGATGATAAGGAGGATGCTGATGAGGATGATGATGCTGATGACAGTGGTGATGATGCGGCTGCTGATGATGATTACGATGTTGCTGATAAGGACGATGATTATAATGCTGATGACGAAGCTGTCGCTGATGATGATGATGCTGATGATGATGATGATGATGATGATGATGATGATGATGATGACGATGACGATACTGGGGAGGATGAGGATGATGATGATGATGATGGTGAGGATCATTATGATGATGATGCTGCTGGTGATGATGATGTTGATGATCATGATGATCGGGCCATGCTGACGAAGAAGAGACCGAGGAGGAGGAGGAGGAGGAGATACGAAAGAGTAGGAGACGCCAGAGGAGGGTTGCCGGCTCCCCCAGCGAGGTGCCATCCCAGAGCAGGAAGATCTTCGTGGGCGGGGTCCCCCAGGACATGAGCCAGGAGGATCTGCACCAGGCAGGGTTGGTTTCGATCCGATCGGTGCGATTCGATATCGATCTCGGCCTGCCCGGTCCGATTCCGTTCGGGTATTTTGGCGATCCGATGCGTACCGAAGTTGGCATTGCGTTGCTGTGCGGCCTCATCCGATTCGAATCTGACTTCGTGCCGATGCGACCCGATGGGGCCCGCATTCCGATCGGATCCGATTTGCCGATTCTGTGCTTTCTGATCTTGCCAGGTGTTTCACAACTACTGGGTGAAGAAGGCGTGGCTGCAGCAGTGTCGGACCGACGTCGACGAGCTCCGGAACCCTTCCGCGTCGCGGCGCAACCACCGAGGGCTCTCGGGGAGCATCGAGACCTCCCTGGCAGTAGGTGTCCGTTCCGCCCCGTATCCTCACCACCCACCAAACCACCCCAACCCAACCCGAAGGCTCAGATTTGCCCTCCATTTCCAGTGGGGGGGGTTCGCAGAACATCGAAAAAACACGTATGGAACCCTTACCCCCCCCAACCCGAAATTCGGGCCTTCGGGTTGGGTTGGGGTGGTCTGGTAGGTAGTCATATCCTGACCCCCAGACGTGCCCAGAGGTCTCCCGAGGCCCCCCGTCAGGCAGGCCCACGGATGAGGACGGAGTTGTTCCACAGGGCGCTGCCGGGTCTCAGAGCGTTCGGGCACTCTCCAGTGCGCGGCCGCGGCGCCCACTGGCTCGGACATTTGCCGGGGCTCGTGGAGAGGGGCTTGTCCCAAGGTGGGGTCAGGGAGCGGATCCAGCTGGAAGCTCACGTTTCCTTCTTCCAGGGGCCGTTCTGGGCGTGTCTTTCTCCGGCCCCACTTCTGCCCTTCCTCACCTTTGCGTCCCGCCGAACTTCAGCATCACCGACGCCATCATCCAACACTCGGCTCAGAACACGCAGCAACCTCTGGAGAACTCGGGAGGGAAGAAAACACACAGACACAATTAATCGTCGATCCCCAAGAAAATATAGGAAAATATGGGAAGTGGGCGGGAAGACAAAAACCCAGAAAATATAGGAAAATATGGGGAACCTTTTTATTTGTGTGCATTTATTTGTGTGTCCCAGGGCCCCTTCAAGAACGCCGTGGCGCCTCCCTCCTCGGTCCAGCGTCGAGTGGCGAGGGGCCCCCCCCGACGACGCGCACGCAGAAACTTTTTTCGGGTGATGGTCCACCGTTGTTTCGAACTGTTCTCGACGTTCCTTGTTGGGTCCTTCGTGGATCTTCCCCCGGGTGTCTTATCGTTCGGGGGTGGATAGACCTCCTACCCTGACACGTCGGTTAAGGAATTGGCCGTTTTCGGTTCGCGAGAGGGCGTCGCGGCCGTCATTTTTGCGGGTCCAGGTCCGTCGGTTTCGGTCCCAGGCCGTTTTCACTAAGGGGAGGTTTACTAAAGGGAGGTTTGTCCACCGCCGAATCGTGCATCTGGGCACAAGCGAGGCCCCACAGAGGGGACTCTGTGCCCCTATCCCAGGCTTCTTCTGTCAAAGCTTTGGCCGTGCTTTGGCGGCGCTCAGAAAAGGGGGTGGCGCGAGGGGGGCGGCCCTCTGAGAAGATCGGGGGGGCGTCTTCGAAGGCAGGGGGGCCTTCTCAAAAGGGCCCCGGGGCTCCTCCGAAGACCCCTCAGGGCACGAGCGCGTGGGTCGGGTGACGCACCCGACGCTCGAGGGGAATCCAGTGCCGTCTTTTTATACATGCTCCGCGTGCGGATCATGTATTAAACATGCAGGCATCTAGAACTGAAAACAACGATGAGTTCATGCATCAATTTAGTCATCAATTAATCATGTCTTAAAATCATATATATATATATATATATATATAAATAAAAATCCGATGGATTAAAAACTGCCCTGTACCAGCGCGTCATGGCAGAAGGCCAGGGCCCGGTGTGCCGACCTCGCCCCTCTGCGGGGCCCACAGGCCGGGCTGGTCCACGAGGGGGGCATGTGGCTCAGAAAAGGGGCTGTGACCACGCCACAGAAGCTTTGAGTGATGTGCCGTCCTCGGGGAGGTTCGGGTTCGTCATCTTCTACAGCACGGACGCCATCGACCAGCTTTTGGGCAGCAGCGACTCCAAGTTTATCCGCGACGCCTCTCGGCGTGCCGGAGCCTCCACGACGACGAACACGGCGACGAAGACGACGATCACGACGACGTCGACGACGATGACGACGACGGAAACTCCAAGCCTGGCGACGACGACGACGAGGAGGAAGAGGAGGAGGAGGAGGAGGAGGAGGAGGACATCGACGACGACGCAACGGCCCCCCCCCGCAGTGCGCTCAGGGCACTACCCCAGCGCCCGCGTGCACTGCAGGCTCGTAGCAATGTGCGGTCGCAGCGCCGGCGTGGTGCCCGCAGGCGGTGGTGCCCGCAGGCCCATGCTCGCAGACATGCTGCGGCGCTCGCAGGCTGGCCTGGGGAGTGCGCGCTCCGGCACGCTGCTGCGCACTACGTGTGGCATTGGCGCGCTGCTGAGGCACCGGAAGGGCCCAGCTTCACCCACCGCCGGAGAGCCCAGACCCCCGACGCCGTGTTTTTCATCTTGAGTAATTATTTGATGGTCCCCTTGACCATACAGACGAGAGCATCGGCAGGTTCATCGTCGCGCCCTCTCGCTTCGCCTCCTCCTTCCCCTCTCCAAAAGATGCGCTGGAGTGGAAACACAAATTATTTGATGGTCCCGAGGCCCGGTAAAGGGCCCCCGGAAGCCGCAACCGGCGCAAAACCTCCAGTCGCTAGAGTTTCACAACGCGAGGGGGGCTGGGAGGGTCGCTAGCACACCGCGGTGCACGCAGGCCCGCTGGCCCGCTCCAGGGTGCTGGCCAGACTCGTCGCCAGCAGGATGCCCAGGCTTGTCGCGGCCGCGTTCGGCGCAAGGCACCCCGCGGGCCCGGTGTGCCTTGCAGCCTCGGCCGTGCGCAGAGGGGGGTGCCCCAGATTTCGTAAAAAGAGGAGGGGCTCACAACCCTCCCAGGCGAGCAGTTTTGACCAGAACCCCCGGAACTTTCCAAGACATTTCAAATCAGACCTCCCCAAATCAGACCTCCCCCGCTTCATGCGAACTGGGGAGTAATTAACTAGGGGAGGGGCGAAGGCTTTTTGGAAGCAGTCCTGCTTCTCAGAAGGCGCAGGACTTGTCTCCATAGATGCAAGGCCGGCGCCCTCAGGGGGCAGCCTCCTTCCAGGAAGCCTCCCCCCTCCCCCATACCCCCCCTCTCTGCGCCGCCAGCAGCCGCGCTGCCGCGCGGCCGCGCGGGCACGGGTCCAGGCGGAGGGGCCTCTCGGCTCTCCCGGGCCCCGCGGGGCGGCGCGGCGCCTCCCCCCCTATGGAGCGAGCAGAGGGCTCGCGGGCGCAGGCCCCGTCGAGGCACTCCGCCGTCGGGCCGCGCGCGAGCTCGGCGCCCGACGCGGAGGCCAACGCGGCCCGACTCGGAGAGGCTGCCGCTGCCGCTTCCGCGGAGGGGGGCTCCGCAGAGGCCTCATGAGGCAGGAAGGCGGGGCGCGCGGCCGCACGGCAGCCCGGCGGGGGGCGCCTTGCGTGCAAGGGGCGGGGGCAGGGCGGCGAGGCAGGGCGGCGACGCCCCATGCGGCGACGATGCTGACGGTGGTGTTGGCTCTGCTTCGGATGACGGTTAGGATCACCACCCACCAAACCACCCCAACCCAACCCGAAGGCTCAGATGTACCCTCGATTTCCAGTGGGGGGGGGGTCGGGGAACATAGGAAAAACACATGTGGAACCCTTAACCCCCCCAACCCGAAATTTGGGTCTTCGGGTTGGGTTAGGGTGGTCTGGTAGGTAATCATAGGATGGTGAGATGATGACGCGGTTGCTGATGATGATGATGGTGATGATGATGGTGACTGTAGTTGACCCACGTAGTAAGGAGGAACAACTGTTCAAGGCGGCCCTTGCACCATTCCCCTTCGGCCCATCGAGGCGGTTTTCGCTGGCCGCGCCCCGCTCGCAAAGTGTCGACATGGCCTTCCAAGGCCCTTGCATCCTTACCGTGCGTCCTCATTGTACGGGCTGGCTGTATAGTGATTTTGGCGACGGTGGTGTCAGTGATGGTGATGGTGATGGTGATGGTTATGGTGGTGATGATGGTGAAGACGATGATGAAGACGAATCTGAAGATGAGGATGAAGATGACTGTGACGGTGTTGATGATGGTGATGGTGATGATTGTGATGACGGTGATGATGATATTATCTATATGATGATGCTGATGATGCTGATGATGATGATGTTGATGATGACGGTGATGCTGTTGATGATGGCGATGATGAGGATGGTGATAATGCTGACAATGATGGCACTGATGATGATGGTGATGAAGACTGTGTTGCTGCTGATGCTGATGCTGATGATGTTGATGATGATGACGATCATGATGTTTATGATGACGATGATGACCATGCTGTGGATTATGATGGTGATGATGATGATGTTGATGATGATGATGATGAGGATGGAGGTGATGATGGTGATGATGATGATGCTGCTGGTAATGATGATGATGCTGATGATGATGATGAGGATGATGATGATGCTGATGATGATGATGATGCTGATGATGATGATGATGATGATGATGATGATGATGATGATGAGATGGTGATGATACTGCTGCTGATGATGCCGTCTGTGGGGGCTTCCTGTGTGGCCCTCGTGCCAACGCCGGGCAGGCCTCGAGAACCTGGTCAAGACGCGCCCGGGACCAGGTCGGAAGGTCCGTTTTGAGGGAGGAGGAGGAGGAGGAGGAGGAGGAGGAGGAGGAGGAGGAAGAGGAGGAGGGCCAGAGGAAAACCAAGATGCATCACGGATGCTGCAATGCACGCTCCTGTCCCATATCCCCGTCTTGTCCCTACGAGTCGCCCGTTCCACTGTGGGAAAAGCCCCTTGACAGACGGACGGCCCGTGGGCCTGCTGTTTCGGCGAGACCTCGTGCCATCCATCCGTATAGGCGGTGCTCAGCGTCGACGCTCTGGACGTGATTTCGGAGGACATCCCCCGCGAGAGCCCTCTTCAAAAAAAAAGGAACCGCGCCCTCCATCCGCGCACCTTTCTCACAGTCTCGAGCCTCGGATCATGTATTCAGAGGGCATCCTAGGCGGGATCCCCACTTAACTTGTGATCCATACACGTGGCTATTCGGAATTTCAAGCTTCGGGGCCATGCAGTGTGAGGAGGCCTGAGACGAAACATCCGGGCCGCCCCAACGGCACGTCTGGTGGCGCGGCAGGGAGATGTAGCCTGAAAGGAAGGAGGACGGGTGAGGCGAGGAGGAGGAGGAGGAGGACGAGGAGGAGGAGGAGGAGGAAGAGGAGGAGGAGGAGGATGAGGAGGAGGTGGAGGAGGAGGGAGGCAGTGGGTCCGAGAGGATGCTGAGGATGAGAATGAGGCGGAGGAGGAGGAGGAGGAGGAGGAGGAGGAGGAGGAGGAGGAAGAGGATAAGAGGAGGAGAAGTGGATGAGCTCGAACATCTCTTCCGCCTCTCCCTTTCCCTCCGCCCCCTCCTGCCCCCACGCCGATCGACCTCTAGACTGGCACGGGGTATGCCGATCGAGATTGAAGATGGCAAGTTCGCCGGCAAGAAGATAGAGGTGAAGCGCGCCGTCAGCAGCAACGAGATCATGACGGGCGGGAAGGCTGCCGAGGAGAAAGAGAATACGCAGCAGAAGCAGCAGGATGTGGAGGAGGAAGGGCATTGCCGAAGGGCAGTGCCTCAAGGAAATGGATATCGAAGACATCAGGACGGCAGCGGAGGAGGGACGGGAAGATAGCCAGGAGCAGGATGCGCAGGATGATGAGGAGAGGCGCGGCGGGAGGCGCAGGAGGGGCGCTGCAGAAGGAGCAGCAGCAGCTGGATCAGGAATCACCAGGGGGAAAATAGGCGTAGTCACGCATAAACGTCGACTCCCAGGAACATGTGGGAAGTGGAGTGGAAGACCCATTCCCAGAGAACATGTAAACAAACTTGAATCCTGGGATGTGTGTCTGTTCAGCTGCTTGCGGTAACGCCCGCCACCGTGCCTGTGCAACAGCGTAGCCCGAAGGAGGCTGAGTGCAGGAACAGCGCACTTCCGACGAGTAGACTGCTGTGGGGCGGGTCGCCATCCCGTCCTCGTCTTCGTCCTCGCGGTAGGGAGGGGGAGGAGGAGGAGGAGGAGGAGGAGGAGGAGGAGGAGGAGGAGAAGGACGAGCAGGAGGAGGAGGAGGAGGGGGGGAAGAGGAGGAGGAGGAGGAGGAGGAGGCGGAGGAGGAGGAGGCGGAGGAGGAGGAGGAGGAGAGGGGGACAATGAGGATGAGGAGGGGGCCTCCTGAGAGCTTCCTGATGACAGCTTTTTGGGGGGCCTCTTGGGGGCCTCATGGGGCTTGGGGGCCTCTTGGGACCTCTCGGGCCGTTTTAGGGGATTCGTGGCCCGTCTGACGCCTATGGCGGCCGCCTTGGGTGTCTCTCTAGGCCGCGTTGGTGACCTCTTGGAGCGGTTCACGGCCGTCTTGGGGCCCTCTTGGGAGCTTGTTGGGCGATTTGTGGGTCCTTTTGGGCCGACTTCTGGCCCTCTTGGGGGCCTGGTTGTCTTGGGGCTGTCTTGGAGGCCTCTTGGAGACCTCTTGGGCCGTCTTAGGGGCTTCTTGCTCGGTATTGGGGCTGTCTTGAGGGCCTCCTGAGCCATGTTGGGCAATCTTGGGTCCTGCTGGCGCCATCTTGGCTGTCGTGAAAGCCGTCCTGGAGGCCATGAGGCTCCAAAGAAGGCCTCAAGACACATCCAGAGGCCCCCAAGCCGGCCCACGAGGTCTTCCAGAGGCCTTTCAGTATAGCCCGGGAATGCCAACACCGTTGATTCCCCCCCGGTGTTTGAAGGATTTTGAGGTTCTGGCATGTTTGGGTTTACGACCGCTCAAGGCAGCTCACGGGGCCTCTCTGGGACGTCGTGTTGCTTTCTTGGGGCGCTTCAGCGCGGTCTCGGGGCCCTCTTTGGGGGCTACTTGGACGGTCTGTGGGTCCCCTTGGGCCGATCTCCTCCAGTGCCTGTCCTTCGCCGTCGTTCCCCTGCGGAGGGCGCGACGGCCTCTCAGGTGGTCGCGTGGGGGTCCCGCGCCCGTGCGCGGCGGCTCGCCCGAGGCAGGACCCGCGGACTCGCGGAGCTTCTCGTTCTTCTACAGTCGGGGCGTTGACCTAAGGAACCCTAAATAAGGAACGAGGCCCCTTTTGTCCACAAGTTAACCTTCGATTTCCGATCGAAAACATCAGGAAAACCTGAGGCAAGCTGTGGAACAATCAAGGAACACCGAGCCCCTCCCCAACGAAAAGGGTTCCTTCTTCAGGGCCCCGACTGTACTTCGATCTGGCCTCCCAGGTCCTGGGCTCCATAGGCCTGCTGGGAGGCTCGGGGTTGCGGGTCGGTGTGTTCGTTGGCCTCGGCAGGACTGGTTCGATTGGGCCGAACTTCTGCCGATAACCGGTTTGAGTTCACACGCCGTAGTGCACAGGTAGAGAGCAGAGACACATTGGACCATGAAGGACATTCACTTATTCATTCCTTCTTCGCTTCTCCTCGCGAGGCGCCGAACTCGTCCTTCTTGTGAGCGCCGAACTCGTCCTTCACGTGCCTCGCGAGGCGTTTTGCGACTGGGGGCCGAGTGGCCCCCAGCCCTTCTCTGCTTTGCAACTGGGCGGCCAGGTGGTCCCCAGCCCTTCTCTTCTTTCTTCTTCTCTTCCTCTTCTTTTCTCTTCTTTTCTCTTCTTTCCTCTTCTATTCTCTTCTCTTCTCTTCTCTTCTCTTCTCTTCTCTTCTCTTCTCTTCTCTTCTCTTCTCGTCTCTTCTCGTCTCTTCTCTTCGCTTCTCTTCTCTTCTCTTCTCTTCTCTCTTTTTGCGACTGGGTGTGCTGCGAAGCCCCAGACCTTCTTTTCCGGTGTAACGCTGAGGTCCTCACTGGCACCTCGTCTCCCGCTTGCCACGCGGGCGATGGAAGCTTGCCCTTCGGCCTCTAGGGCTGCGAGACTTCCGTCGAGGAGCGCTGCACTCCTCGATTATTTGCTTATTTCGTGCCGTCGGCGGTGGCGCTTCGAGCCTGAGGTGCTCCCTCGCATTCGGGGCTTCCTCGGGACTTTGCGTCCTATCGCCTCCATCACGGCGTGGCAGCAACGAGCCTGAGGCGTTCCCTCCCGCGAGGGCTTCCTCAGGCCTTTGGACTTCGATCCCGTCGGTGAAGACCGCGACCTTGCCGTGTAGCCTTGCCCGCCATCGCTCCCATGCGCGGGTGGTTCGAGATTCTCGCCCTTCGGCCCTTGTGGGCTGCGAGTCTCTCGTCGGTGATGTTAGTGTGCAGGTTGTCGGCGATGCACTCGCTGGGATCACGTCGTAGGCGTCGCACGTTGCAGGTCTTCTTCGGGCGGGATGCTGGACGCTTGGAATCCCCACCTGGCGATGATCGTCTTGTCGAGTAGTTAGGCGGTCACCAGGTCGATGTCATCGGCACTCGCCTCCTTCATGGGGGACTCCTCAATCGAGAAAGTGGCGTTCGAGATGATCTTGACCTTACCTAGTGGGTAGTGGGCAGCCGTGCAGCTGGACAATGACGAGTTCCTCGCAATGTGCTGAATATCGGGGAGCTCCCAGCATGTGAAACCTTCCGCGTGATAGTCTGATGGTAGCTTATGTAAGGCAGCGAACGGGATCCTGAGCTCAGTGGCGGCGTGTAGTATATAGAGATGACTTACTTGGCCACGGTGTTGGCGTTGTGGAGCTCGTTGGCGGTCCTATCAGGGATGTCAGCCATTCCCCAACGCTGCAACGTCTGCCGAGTCGTAGAAGTACCAAGTGCGTCTCGGGACCTCGGAGCATACTGCTGCAATATTGCCTTGCTGCATCTTGGCGCGGACTTGGAATAGGCCGTCTTGTGGTACAGTTGTTCTCGATCATTGCTGGCATTGAGCGTAATACAGTCCATTCCGCTCAAAGAAGTGATCGTGTTACAGGCCATGATCTGCTGGAGGTCCCACGGCGTTCTCGGTCGGTCTGTGAGGAATACGATGGCTTGTCGGTCTGCTGATTTGGGCCACACTGTCATGTTAGGCTGGGGGTGCTGGGTCAGTATGGTGGCCCAGACCTTCGGCGCGTCGGGTGAGGTGTCCAGCATCGGTAGTGGCGTAATGTCCGTCTTGTAGGCGGGGGCTTCGCTGTAGGTTGCTGGGCGTCCTTGTTTGTTGTTCTCTGCCGCTGTCGTGGTGATGGCCTCTAGGTTGTCCTTGATCTGCTGCTCTGTCAAGTGCTCTTGTGTGACTCCTCCCTCCTACTCCTCCTCCATCCCTTTTCCTGGAAGGTATCGCGGTCCCAGACGTGTCGCTAAGGCGGGTTTGGCGTTTTGCCTGATCCTTCCTGTTGCCTCGGGTAGGTTTGCAGCAGTAACACGGGTGGAGGAGGAAACGTTTTCAAAATGCCGGTCTCGCCCTAGCGCCGTGCACATTCGTTTGAAGTTTGTGCACAAGTCACATGGATGGGTGGCGGCGTCGTTCTCAAAATATGTAAGGCTCTCGCCCTAGCGCCGCTCACATGTTTTTTTGTTCTTCACGCTTGCAGCTGGCTCACGTTTGTCAAGGTTGTCGGCCGGGCGCTTGCTTGAAACGGCTGGGGGGAAGGGGGTGAGAATTGCCATTCGAGTTAAGCACCGCTTTGGTTTCGGAAGGGTTTCGCTGTTCGTGAGATTATGCCGTGGTCGTTCCTCTAGCCCTCCTCGTGAACCCAGAACGCTGCTAGGGCCAAAGAGATGGGCCGCGTTCCTTCTTATCTAGCTCCTGTAAGCCTGCCTGGGTCCAGAGCCACACGCCCTCCACATACCCAGCCCCAGCAGCAGCTGGAGGACGAGGAGGTGGAGGTCACATGAAGAGGGAGGGGAGGGAGAGGAGGGACAGGAGGGAGCAGGGATGAGAGCGGAGAGCCAACCGCCCTCCACACCCCGCAAGGCGCCGGCGGACCAGCCCCAGCAGCAGCTGCGGGGTCCCCCCGGCGGGCCGGCGGCGCCGGGGGCCCCGCGGGGCGCGGGTGGGCGGCAGGCCCACCAGGCGCAGCCGGCGCAGGCGCGTGGCCGCGCCGTTCCGGCGGTGCGCAGTGGCGGGCGATGGTGGTGGTGATGCCGATAGTGATGATGGTGATGGTGATGGTGATGGTGATGGTGATGGTGATGGTGATGGTGATGGTGATGGTGATGGTGATGGTTCTGGTGATGCTGACCATGACGATGATCATGATGATGGTGGTGGTTGTATGTAATCATGATGATGATGATGATGATGATGATGATGATGATGATGATGATGATGATGATGATGATGATGATGATGATGATGATGATGATGATGACGATGACGATGACGATGGCGATGTTGTCGCTGTTGCCAATAATGGTGATGGTTAAGATGGGCATGATGATGATGGAGATGGCGACGACAATGGCGATCATGATGGTGGTCCATTTTCCGCGAAGTAGACAATGTCTGGGAGAGGAGCAGGAGTAGGAGGAGGAGGAGGAGGCGGAGGAGGTCCAGTGTAAACCCAAGACTCATAAACGATATTGCAATCCACCATCCCTCCAAGTTCCCTCTTCATAGGCCCCTACAACGGCTTATTTTCACTGAGGGAAGTGCCCCCGCTGGAAGACAATACGTAATTTGAAACAAATCCTGAATTGTGCTAGAACACCACTCCTGGGATTTCGACGTCGCGAATCAACGTAACGGCTTCGTCCTAACAGTCCGACATCGTGCCAAAACATCGTTGTTGGAAGGTTAACCATGAGAATGTTTGGAATGGCTGCGAACTCTTGGAACATCTGTGCGCGGCGCGAAGGCGAGAGCCACATTTTGCAAACGGCCCGCCCTCCATCCGTGAAGCTGCTGCGATGTTTTGAAACGAATGTGCGCGGTGCTCAGACGAGAGCAGAATTTTGAAAACGGCTCACCCTCTATCCGTGAAGCTGTTGCAAGATTTTAAGACGAATGCGCGCGGTGCGACGCTGAGAGCCGCTTTTTGAAACTGGCTCGCTCTGCATCCGCGAAACAGTTGCAAGTTTCAAGCTTAAGTGTCACACATGGTGTGGAAATCTCCGGCGAAACGCCCGGCCCGCCCTTTCGACTGGCCTCGGGGTGCGACAGGGAGGAGTTATTTATAAGGGAAGGGACTACAGAAGGAGAAGGAGGAGGAGGAGGAGGAGGAGGAGGAGCTGGAGGAGGAGCTGGAGGAGGAGCAGGAGGAGGAGGAGGAGGAGGAGGAGGAGGAGGAGGAGGAGGAGGAGGAGGAGGTGGAGGAGGAGCGAGCGCCGCCGCCGCCCTGCTCGGCACTCGCCGCCGCTTCGCTCCCCGTCCTTCGCGGGCAGGGCGGCCCGCGTTCCAGGCTCGCGCCGCCCGAGAGGCGCCTGGCCCAAGGCGTCTCTCCTTCTCCTCCTCCTCCTCCTCTCCTCCTCCTCCTCCTCCTCCTCCTCCTCTCCTCTCCTCCTCCTCCTCGTCCTCCTCCTCCTCCTCCTCCTCCTCCTCCGCCTCCTCCTCCTCCTCCTCCTCCTCCTCCCGGCCCGCCTGCGGAGGGGGGGGCGCCCCGCCTGCTTGCAAGCAGGGGCCAGCGAGGCCCTGGAGCACGCCGCCCTCGCGCGCCGGTCTGGCCCCGCACCGCGCGCAGTGCCAGGCTGGCGCCTCGGCATGCGCTGGGAGGTCGTGGCTCGGGCGCGCGGCGCGGCCACCAACCTGCACCATTCCAGAAGGCCTTGCGCCGCCAGCTGGCTCGGGCCCTGCTCCTCCGCAGGCGCCCGCAGCCACGCCGCGCATGAGGCCCGGCTGCCACGCATCTCGGACAGGCAACTTCGGCAGCGCATCCTGCTGCCCCGCCCCCGGATGAAGGATTATGGATCTTTCCTCTGGTCCTCCGGTCCTCCAGTCCTCCTGTCCTCCAGTCCTCCTGTCCTCCAGTCCTCTGGTCCTCCGCTCCTCTGGTCCTCTGGTCCTCTGGTCCTCCAGTCTTCTTGGCCTCCAGTCCTCTGGTCCTCTGATCCTCCGGTCCTTTTTGTCCTCTGGTCCGCCTGTCCGCCAGTCCGCCGGTCCTCCAGTCCTCCGGTCTCCGATCCTCCGATCCTCTGGTCCTCCGGTCCTCTTGTCTTCTGGTCCTTTGGTCCTCCAGTCCTTCGGCCCTCCGGTCCGACCTCTGGTCCTCTGATCTCCTGGTCTTCTTGTCCTTGGTTCTCTGGTCCTGTAGTCCGCCTGTCCGCCCGGCCCCCATATGAGTTTAGTATGAGTTTCGCAAGTACTTCCAATGCCTGAAGATGTGTCCCTCGTTTGCACTCGGCATCACAGGTCAGGATTTGGTAACGATGGATACAATAAAAGCAACCTCAAGCGTTGAACAGCTATGGAATGCAAGCCATCACCACAAGTCACATCCTCCTCCTTCTCCTCCTGCTCCTGCTCCTCCTCCTCCTCCTCCTCGTCCTTCTCCTCCTCCTCCTCCTCCTCCTCCTCCTCCTCCTCCCCCTCTCCTCCTCCGTCTCCTCCTCCTCCTCCTCCTCCTCCTCTCAGGCCTCGCGAGGCTAGACACATGCTTTCGATGCTGCTGAAACGATTCGTGCGTGAAAGGGCTTTGTAGCTGCTCCAAATATTTCGAGTAGGACCGTAAACCGAACGCTTGCAAAACATGCTGCAGAGAGCGAATCGTTGTTCAGTCATAGCTCGAGTAGACGACCGATATCATATCAGGCCTTTCGAGGCTTTAGACCAATCCTGTCGATGCTGCTGAATATATTGCTGTCTGTTCAAACTCTGAAGAACAAGTCCGAAGGACTGAACGCGTGCAAGAAACAAATGCCACAGCGTGCGAGTAGTTTTTGCGTCATAGCTCAGGTAGGAGACCGATATCAGGCCGCTCGAGGGCATAGAGTAGTGCTTTCGGTGTTGCTGAACCGATTGGTGTGACAATGAAGCTCTGCAGCTGCTCTAAATCCCGAGATCACGTCCGTACACCGAACGCGTGCAAATAAATGTAGGGTTTGAGCCGGCTTCGGTCATAGCTCGAGTAGACGACCGATCTCAGCCTTCTCGGATCTCTAGACCAATCCTTCCGATACTGCTGAATATAGCGCTGTGGCTAAAAGCTCTGTAGTTGCTCGAAATCTCGTAATCAAGTCTGTAAACCGAATGCGTGCCAAACATATGTTGCAGCTTTCGAGCATTGTGGTAATAGCTCGGGCAGGAGACCGAGCTCAGGCCTCTCGATGCTCTATACCAGTGATTCAGAGGCTGCTGGATCGATTGGTGTGACTCAGGGCGCTGTAGCTGTTCTAATCTGAGATCAAGTCCGTAAACCAAACGCGCGCCAACAACAATAAGGTACAGAGTGCGGTTTGTTTTTCGGTTTCAGTTCGAGTAGGAGACCATGATGAGAACCATCGAGGCTCTAGACCAATGCTCCCGAGGCTTCAGAATAGATTTCTGCGACGAAGAGCTCTGTGGGTGTTTTTTTTCGAGATGAAGTCCAGCAGCCGCCAGTGTGCCAAACATTGTGTCGACGCTAGTTCCTGCGCAAGGAAATGTAGGAGCGAATCGGGGGCACCTCGTGACAGCGGCGGAAGACCGAGCGCTCCACTGTTTCTTCGGACGGTGAAGTGAGAGCACCTTGACGGCAGGAGGTTGGGGGATGAGCCCGACGTGAAACGGAGACCCCCCCTACCGGAAAATCGATTTCGGTTTCGGGTTCGTGTCATGCGTGCCATGCGTGCGTGCGGGCGAGGCGAAGCTGCGTGGGCGGGCGAGAGGAAATCCTCCTGTGGCTGGGCTGCGGCCGGACCACATGTTTCTCTTCCGGCGGCCGGTGGCCCGCGGCGCCCCGCCGGCGTCCCGCTGGTGCCCCGAAATCACGTAAGCCAGCGCGGACAGGCCCACCGATTGCGCCGAGATGCCCAGGCCGAGAGCCCCCCTGAGCGCGACCAGCGGGTCCAGGCTGTCGTAGAACTCCGCGCAGTCCCAGAGCGCGCCGCAATGCTGGACCCCCGGAAGCTCCGCCGACTCGTCGCAGAAGATGCGACGCAGTGCTACCTGCAACGCGCTGGACCCGAGGATGGCCTGGCCCCAAAGGCCTGCTCTCCGGTCGCACCGCTCCGGACCCAGCGGCTTTTGCAATTGGCCCCAGAGCAGCGCGGGCCACGGCAACAGCGCGACGTTGCGCTCGCACCCTTTTCGGATTCTCCAGCACAGCCTCCAGCGCCGCCAGGGGCTGCCAGGAGTGCCTAGCACTGGTGAAACAGCTCCACGAGCTCCCTCACCGATGCGAGCGGCGCGGCCCGCACATCGGCTGGGCTCAGATTGACGGCCCCCGCCCTGCGCGGGCGCGCGGAACCCGGCCGGCCCCGCGACGTTGTCGCGCGCGATCGGCGCCCAGTGCTCGGTCGGGGCACGGTCGCGGAAATCGGCAAGCAGCGCCCGCGCGCGTTCGAGGCCTGCCCCTCCGGCCCAGCGAGCTGCCCGCTTCTGTTAGAACGAAGGTAATATGGAGAGGTGCTGGTACGTTGGGTCTTTTCGAAGTAGCCGTAAAATAGGTTACGGAAATAGATGAACAACAACATCTGTAAGTTACATGGCATGATGATAGAATGTGTAAGCGCTCAAGCGCAAGCGGTGTTTGTGGCGCGCAGCGAGTGCCTTGCTGGGAGAGCCGATTGTCATGGCAGCTCAGGGCGATCACGCGTCCTGCAGCCGCGCGGGACCGGCTTCCACAGTTCGGTTTTGGGGTCTCTCGCCGCGGGGGCGCGCCGTGAATTGGCGCGGCGCGGGCCTGGCGTCGCCCTTGCGCGTCCAACAAATTCTTTACGCTTCGCGTATCCCCACCAGCCCATCCCTCAACAGCAACTCTTGCGAAGCATGCCGACAGTCGTGTTTTTCAGGCGTGTTTCCGCCTGCCCCCGCACATCTCCCCTGCTACTCCTTCCTCCCGCCTCCTTGCACATCCTCCTTGCGGGGGGGGCGGGAGAAGGACGAGGCGGAGGAGGAGGGGGAGAAAGCGCGCCTCGTGGTTTGAGTCGTTTGGGGTTTCTCGTCCTGGTGTGAGTCGTTCGGGCCCTTCTTCCTGGTGTGAGTCGTTCGGGCTCTTCGTGGTGTGAGTCGTTCGGGCTCTTCGTCCTGGTGTGAGTCGTTCGGGCTTCTCGTGGTGTGAGTTGTTCGGGCCCCTCGTCCTGGTGTGAGTCGTTCGGGCCCCTCCTCCTGGTGTGACTCGTTCGGGCTCCTCGTGGTGTGAGTCGTTCGGGGCCCTCGTCGTGGTGTGAGTCGTTGGGCTCCTCGTGGTGGCTTGTATGAGCGCTGCCCCTCCTCCTGGTGTGACTCGTTCGGGCTCCTCGTGGTGTGAGTCGTTCGAGGCCCGCGTCGTGGTGTGAGTCGTTCGGGCTCCTCGTGGTGTGAGTCGTTCGGGCGCCTCGTCCTGGTGTAAGTCGTTCGGGAACCTCCTTGTGGTGTGAGTCGTTCGGGCTCTTCGTGGTGTGAGTCGTTCGGGCCCCTCGCCCTGGTGTGAGTCGTTCGGGCTCCTCGTGGGGCCTCTTGGGGGCCTCTTGGAGCCTCTTGGGGCCTCTTGGGCCGTAGCCATTTTGGCTCAAGGTGACCAACACGCGGGGCATTCGCCCTGGTGGTCAAAGGGATACCGCTAATCCGCGGCAGGCAGATCGGTTTACCGTTCGGCAGTCGGGCGCGCGATGGCAGCATGGGGCTGGCCGCGCTCGAACAACGGATGCTGGTCCTGCAGCTGTGGCGTGGCGGACAACTACGTTACGCGCAAGAAGTATCGGGGATGTGGGGCCCAGGCACAACGTAAAGGATCAACATGCAAGGACGTCAAAGAGCAGACGTACAAGGACGTGCTGTTGGGCCCGTCGAAGCGAGAGGCAGCGCTGCAGAAGCAGGTGGACACCATGCGGGCGCAGCTTCAGGACCTCAAGAAGCAGCAGCACGCCACCCACGAGGATGAAGACGACGAGAAGCCAGTGGATCTGGACAAGCTCTACAGGTGGGCGCAGTCGTGCAGATCCGAGTGGGGAGACCAGTCCACGGAGTACCAGCAGGCGCATGAGCGCAACATGCGGGCCAAGGACGCCAAGCATAGAACGAAGCCGCACTCGGTCCAGCTCACCAAGGCACGGGTTGCCAGGGAGAAGCTCGAGAAGGAAGAGGCGGCCATCTATGGCGAGGTCAAGCGGCATCAGAAGGCGATGCAGGACGCGCAGGAGAAGCTCGCCAAGAAGAGGGAGCAGCTCGAGGTCGCAAAGGCCAAGGAGTCGGAGCTCAAGGTGCAGGACGTCACCATCAAGGGTAAAGGCTTCTTCGCGGCGATGCGAATGGGCCGTCGAAGGAAGCGGCATCAGCAACGAGGAGTACGAACACGTGTTCGCAGCACTCGCCAGGGTGCTGGGCAACGTCAGGGAGGAGCCCAAGGAAGACAAGGACGGCATGGACACTGAAGAGGCTGGTGATGCTCCTGCTGGTGGCAGCAGCGGGGGCGCAGGCGCAGCCAGGAGTGGGCAAGCAGGACGCGAGCAGGGACCTCAGCTGTCGCCAGAAGAACAAGAGTGGCTACACGCAGGTGGGGCGCCTGAGGATGCCAGCGAAGCACAGCGAAAGAGGTGGCTCGGGGTGTGCGCCAGCCTTGCGGAGCACAATCAGCGGGCAAAGCACTCCTAGCAGGCAACGCCAGAACAAGTTCGAGAGCATCACCCTGTGGACGTTTAACGGCTCGGGGTGGGGTACCCTCAAAGAGAGGATCGAGCACGCAGAAGGGGGCCTGCTGCAGTGCTACGCAGTGCAAGAGCATCGCCTCACGGGCGACAGGATCGCGGTCGTGTCGCAGAGCATGAAGGCGAAGGGGTGCCAGTTCGGCGGGGCCGAAGCGAACCCGACGATAGGCCCAGGTGGAGAAGCAGGCACTTCGGCGGGTGTGGCAGTCGTGGTGCCCAGGTGCATCGGCATGACGTACATGTTCGGCAAGGAGAAGTGGGACTTGTCACCGCGGAACAGCCCAGGGAGGGCTGCAGCGGCATGGCTATCGGTCGGCAAGGGAATCATCTACGCGACGGTCTACCTGTGGACGGCAGAGGGGATGCCGTTCAGGAACACGGAGATCACCAACAAGGTGATATGCCAAGTGGAAGCGTTCGGCATGCCGTGGGTAATCGGGTGCGATTTCCAAGTGGCGCCTGAGAAGATGACGGAGGTGGAGAGCGTCAAGATGGCCAAGGCGCGGGTAGTCGCGTCAGGGGCCAGCTGTGGAACGTGCAGACATGCGTACGGCGTGAGCGAGATCGACTACTTCATCGTGGCGGACAGCCTCGTTAGCCAGGTGATGTATGTCAGAGTGCAGGAGGAGTGGCCGTCGGCGCCCCACAAGCCAGTGGGGTTAACACTCAGGCTCAAGGCGCAGGAGCGAATGGTCAGGGTATTGGAGAAGCCAAAGAAGCTGCCAGAGCTGGGCATGAGATGCATACCAGCGCCGCCGCAGTATCGAGAAATCGCGTGCTTCAGGTCGCAGGAGGTGGCCAACCAGGAGTGGAGGCAGTACATGCAGACGTTGGAGCAGGAGGCCTTCGCAGCACGAGGACTCGAATGGGCACCCGACCACCCTGCAGCAGGGCGAGCCGAGGAGCCGACATGGAGGATCAAGCCGCTAAGTTTCGGTGGTGCCAATGCGCCGCCAGCCGCCAGGGAAGCAGTTTGGTGGAGGTGGCTCGCGAGAGCGCTACAGAGCTTGCAAGGGGCATACACGAGGCTCAAGACGGCGAGAAATGGCGACAATCAAAGGCGCCGGCAGAAGGAGGCAATTGCGCAGGAGCACCAGTTCATCATCACGCATCGGAGGACCAAGCACCTCAATACAAAGGAGCAGGGGAGGTGGCAGGCCAGGTGCGGGCTGCTGGCGGCTGGGCTACTCCGAGGGGCGCATCAGGAAGCAAAGTTGCAGCAACGGGTGCAGGAGAGCCAGGGCAAGATGAATGAGTACGACCAGCAGCTGCTCAAGGAGAGGCGAGCACGCTGGGCAGACAGGTTGCAGGAGGCGGCAGCAGGAGCAGCAGGTGGTCTACACAAGTTGAGCAAGGCTGCACCAGTATGGAGACCGCGTAGGGCAGGCTCCATGGAGGACTCGGCGGACCCCATCGAGGCAGCTGAGTACACCCTCAACGAGTGGAAAGTGGTCTGGAGGGTCGGCGAGCAGATCCAGAAGGTGCAGCGGCCGTGGGAGCGCGAAGAGCGTGACAAGCTCGAGCCCTTCACAGACCAGGTCGTCGACAAGCTTAAGGAGGTAGCGCGCACCTTCAGGAAAAAGACGGGGGTCGGAGTAGACAGGTGGCACCCCTCTATGCTGCAGGGTGCGTCGGACGAGGCCTACGTCAAGCTGTTGGACTTCTACATGGAGGTGGGGCGGACGCTGCGCTGGCCCATCCACATGGGTACTGTGTTATTCTTCATGATCCCGAAGACCTACACCACGGACAGGGCCATCGGGCTTCTGCCCACAGCCTTCAGGGTGTGGGAGATTATGCGAGAGCCGTACATGGTCGAGTGGGCCAAGAAGAACTACCGGAGCTGGGATTGCACGAGCTACGGTAAGGCGGCGGAGGACGCGGCCTGGGAGGTGTTGCTCAGCCACGAGATGGACGATGTCGAGGAGCAGAGCGAGGAGACGCAGGCGACGGTCACGGCCGTTTTGGACTTGGTAAAGGCTTTTGAGAAGGTCAGCTTGCACGTGTTTTGGGAAGCAGGAAAGCAGCTCAAGTTCAACACAGGGGTGCTGGCGGTGGTGTGCTCATACTTCGCCATGACCAGGCGCCTCATCGTCTGGGACTCAGTGTCCAGTGAGACAGAAACGGTCACCACCATCATCGCGTGTAGCAAGTTCTCGGTATGTTTCCTGAAGATGGTCATACAATCCACGGTGGATGGCCTGGTGGTCGAAAGACCGAGAGCGCGCTGGAGGACGTACGTGGACGACTTGTGCGTACGGTTGCGACAGCAGCATAGGCACGTGGTCACGGAGTTCGGAGAGACGATTGACAGTTGCTTCCGAGGATTCGAGGGGCTAGGCCTGAAGTTCTCCGTGGGCAGCAAGGGCAAAGGTGCAGTGATGGCGAGCACCAAGTGGGCGCGAAGGGCCGTGGCAGGGCCGATGCAGGAGCGAGGCCTGCCAGTGGTGAAGGCATGTCCATACTTGGGGGTCGACATCGTCACGCACGGCACGGCGGTGAAGACCAAGAGCGGCAAAAGGCACGCTGTCATGAAGGTCAGGAGTCGCAGGTTGCTCGCTCTAAAGGGCGGGCGAAAAATGGCCAAGGGTGTTGGCTTGGTGTACAAGTGTGGCCTGAAGCGCTCGATTATGTATGGGTGCAAGTGCTTGGGCATGCCAGACCGCCAGCTTCGACAGCTACGGCGAGAGGCAGGGAGATTACTACCAGGGGGACGAGGAGCTCGCAGTCTCACCTTGCAGCTGGCAGTGGCGCAGGAGGAGCCTACATGCGAGGTCACAGAGGCGCCCATAGTTAGGTGGGCGCGGGCAGTATGGCATGGCGTACATGACGAGGATGGAGGAGGACAATGGGACAACATAGCCACCATGTTGCAGCAGGCATGGATGCGGCAGCAGCAGGAGGTCGGCACGAAGCCTGCTTGGGCCCGGGTGCGAGGTCCAGCAGGGGCAGTCATCATGTCAATAAGGAGGGCTACGTGGACATGGCCTGCGTGGCACACCTTCGTCTCAAAGGAGGGCTTCGTGCTGAACATGCAGGAGGTGTGCCCCATGGACATCGCGGCGATGGTGCGCAAGGACGTGCCGGCAACCCTCTGGGAGGAGTGGGCGCAGGCGGAGGAGTTCAAGACCCTGAGCCCAATGCCGTTTCTGGCGCCAGCAGTCGCGCAGCTAGGTGCACGTGATTTCCCGAAGCATGCAAGGAATGCGGCGAAGAAGGTCTTTGTCGGAGGTGCGTGGACTATGGAGAAGCTGTGCAGGTGCAACATCGTACCCACGGACATTTGCATGGCATGTGGAGAGGCGGTGGGCACCGAGCACCACCGGTACTACAAGTGCCATGTGCTCAGGAGCCAGAGGTTGCAGGCGCAGGCGGGCTGGCAGCACGTGGCGGAGCAGCAGGACACCAACATGCCGTGGACGCGCGGGCTGGTGAGGTCGCCAGAGGCGGACTGGAAGTTCGTGGGAATCGAGGAGGACCAGTACTACGGACAAGTGGTCGAAGGCGAGGAGGACTACTTCACAGGCGACATCGTGTGCGACGGCTCGAAGCTCGGGCACAGCAACTGGGCGCAGACGGGCTGGGCAGCGATGTCCCTCAACGACAACGGCACCGCGAAGATGCAGATGTGGGGTCCGCTGCCGTGCTCGCTACCGATCCACAGGAGGGTTAAGAGAGCCGAGATGTGGGCCTTCCTCAAGGTGCTGGAGAGGATGCTGCCGCCAGGACACGTCTTCACGGACCACAAAGGCATCGTGGAGGGCTTGCAGAGAGGAGAGCGGTGGTGCACGAGCTGGAAGCGCCCACACGCAGACCTGTGGCGAAGGATCTGGCATAAGGTGAAGGACATGGACCTGGACATTCATTGCGTGAAGCACGTAAAGGCCCACAGGTCCAAGAGCAGGATCGGGCAGCTCGAGGGTGAGGACCTGAAGATTGCGAAAGGCAACAGCGAGGTGGACCTGCTGGCAAAGGTGGGCGCGGGGATGGACGCACACTACGGCAAGCACCAAGCGCTGGAGGACCTTGCAGGGCGAGTACGTTAGGCGCTGCAGAACATTGGTTGGTGGTACCAAAAGATGGGCGGTACGTGGCCAGACGTGCCGCCCAAAGAGAAAGGTGTGCCGAGGCGAAGAGTGCCGAAGCCGATGCTGACCCTGACCGAGCACGACGTTGTGGAGAAGGGAGGCTGGCAGGTGTGCATGAGGTGTGGCGTTCGTGCGGCGTCCAAGCGGATGCGCCTGAAGATGTGGCAAGCGGAATGCGTGCGGCCACTTTGGCAGGCAACAGGCATGCGCAGTGCGGGGACAGGCAGCTCGCTGGAGGCCAGCGTAGCCATCGCAGCGGAGACCGCAGCTGCAGCAGCGCCAGCAACAGCACGGCCTGGAGAACAACACGAAGTACATGCTGTGCCTGAGGTGCAGGGCAGGCCGCATCGTGTGGAAGTCCATGGCCCGTACGTGGTGTGCGTGGTGTGCGGGGCACACTCGGCAAGGCGTAGGGCGGGTCTCGGGGCTGCCTGCCCAGGCCCGCTGGCGCCCCGCGGGCGGTCCACCAAGGATGACGCGAAGAGGAAGAAGCGGGGCAGGATTCTGGCGGGTAAGAACCCGCAGAATGGCAAGCCGATGGAGCAGGGCGCCGTCCTGCCAGCTCGGCGAGGGGCTTGAGGAGCAGCTCCAGAAGCTGCAGAGGGGGGCGTTCGACTATGTGAGCATGGTGAACGTGAAGTCCGAGCTGGAGGGCTACCAGCTGGACCAGGCCGATCAGGCCTGAGGCTGGCCGCAGTCTGCGGTGGACGAGCCCTGTGGCGGGATCCGCTGGGGGGCTTGGGGGAGAAAGAGCCTCTTGGGGCCTCTTGGGGGCCTCTTGGGGGCCTCTTGGGGGCGTCTTGGGGGCCTCTTGGGGCCTCTTGGGGCCTCTTGGGGGCCTCTTGGGGGCCTCTTGGGGGCCTCTTGGGGCCTCTTGGGGGCCTCTGGGGGGCCTCTTGGAGGCCTCTTGGGAGCCTCCTGGGGGCCTCTTGGGGCCATCTTGGGGCCTCTTGCGACCTCCTTTGAAGCGCAAATGAGAGCTGCCCCCTGAGAAGGACAAAATGAGCCCAAAACCTTCGTAAAATCAATGATTTCGTATAAAGGACGATGAGCGCTGCCCCCTCAGAAGGCCAAACTGGGGCCCAAACCCTAGTAAAATCAGTGTTTTTGGCTTCAAAGAAGAGGAGAGGGGCCAAACTCCCTCCCCCCCCCCGGGGCCAGAATCCTCGTGAGGGTCGTCGTTTTTTGGTCCTCCCAGGAGTCGAAAAATGCTCCCCTGACGACGCTCGGGACTCCCTCTCCAGGTCCAGGGGGAGGGGGTAGGGGGAGGGGTAAACCCCTCCCCGAAGGGGAAGAAAGGGGGTTGAGGACAGAGAGAGCTCCCTAAACCACTCACGCCCAAAGGGCTGGTGGGATTATTGGCGAAGTGCCCGCCCATCTGCAGTTCTGATCACAGTTGCTGGTGGGCATTCCTTGGGGGCCAGGGGGCGCGTGACAGGGGCGCGCCGATGTGAGCCAGTGCCGCCGCGCGAGCGGCGCCGGCGGGGTCGGGCCTTTCAGCTGAGCTTCCTGCCGGGCCAATCAGGAGGAGGAGGAGGGATGAAGCGGTCCGACTAGACGTGCAGGTTTTGTACTAGGAGGCGCAGCCGGCGTCTCCGGCCCCCCCCCCCGTGCAGGTCGCCTCGCTCCCACGCGCCCGTCCCTGCGCGCCCCCCCCTCCTGCTCCCCACCCTGCGGCGCGACCTCTTGTTGGCCGGGTCTGCCGGTCGTGAGAGCCTCGGAGGGTGCGCGAATCTCCGCGGCGTGGGCAGGATCCGCACCCTGGCAGGTCCGGGCGAGGCCGAGCATCCCACCTGAGGCCCTGCACGGCTCTGGAGTGCTCCCCTGCACGTGCGTTCGGGCACGGCACGGCACGCGCAGCCGAGGGCCTCCGTTGACGGCGAAGTCCAGCAGCCGCCCCTGGCGCTGGTTGTGAGCAGCGCCCTCGCCCAGCCAGCCCGAAGCCTGGATCTCCAGAGGGGTGCAGTTCCAGTCGCCGGCCGCGATCCAATCGCACCCGAGCGTGTCCAAGAAGTCCCCCGAGAGGGCCAGCTTCGTGAGGTTGGGGCCTCGCAGTCCCACACTTGGTTCGTGGTGCACCACCACGACCACCAAGCTGCCCTGCTTGAGGCGCACTGCCAACGCCAGGAAGTCCCAGATAACATCAATCAGGCTGGGCCGCCAGTCCTTGCCAGTGCGCCCCATCAGCAGCCCTCGTTTCTGCGACTGCTGCGACGCCAAGTGACCAAACCCTTGAGTCTGGAGGTGGCGCCGCGCTCCCAGGACGGCACCGCTGGACCTCTTTGCGCGCGAGCTTGCGCGACCTGGCATTGTCACAGTGCGCCACCCATTGGCATCCCATCTCCTCATCATGTCTCTGCTCTGTCGGGACGCGCGTCTCCAGCAAACCGAGGAGATCTGTGCCGAAGGGCGGCGCTTCCACCGGCTTGCGGGTGCCTGGCCCCCAGCAGGAGGCGTTACGCACAAAGAGCCGCCGAAACCTGGGATCACGGGGCTCCCCAAGGTGGGCTGCCAGGGCCCTCTGGGCAGCAGGCTGCGGTGCCTGCACTGCATCGTCCGTCGCCCCCTGCACCGTGGGGTCCGCGCCCCGCGCCCACCTCCCAGCTCGCGGCCGACGCACCGTCATCGACTGAGGGCGCATCCCGCTGGTTGTCCACAGTCGAGATGCTGCCCTCGTCGCTCGTCGCGGGCGCGGAGGGGGCGTCCCCACGCGCCTGCTGCAGCTGCCCACGCCCCCCTTCCCTCTGGGGCTGAGCGGCCCTGGAGTGGTCCCCTCGCGAGGGCCTCGCCGCCTGCGACGCCGCCTCCGCTACTCCTGGGCCGCCAGCTGCTGGGGCTGCGGCGGTGACCTCGGCTGGGGCTGGGGCTGTGCCCTCGCCTGCTCCGGCCGCGGCCTGGCCCTTGCGCCCTCGGAGCCGCTGGTGCACTGGGAGCCCCTGGGCTGTGAGGAGCTCGGCCAGCTGCTGGCTCTTGGTCTCTTCGAGGGTGGCGTAGGCATTGTTGAGCTCGGATCAGCCCATGCTGGCTCCCACACAGCGTCCGTCACCGACGGGAGGAGGCCCGGCAGGAGGAGCACCCGCAGCAGCCGCAACCATAGGAACGTTCGCAGCCTCGGCCGCCGACTGGGCGGCAGACTCGATCCGCACCTTGCCCATGGCCGCGTAGCGGGAGAACATCTCTGGGGCGCTACCGATGTCGATGGCTTCCTTCCCGTCGAGTTGGCCCCGCAGCTCCGCGACGTACTGCGCTGCCCAGACAGCCTGCGCCACGAGCTGCTCCTCCTCCGAGATTATGTCGAGGGCTGCTGGCTCTAGCCAGGCAGCTTCGGCCTGCAGCAGGCCCACGACAAGGCGGACGCGCGACATCCCACTGCTCTTTTGCTTCACGCCCGTCGAGTTGGCCCCGCAGCTCCGCGACGTACTGCGCTGCCACGACAGCCTGCGCCACGAGCTGCTCCTCCTCCGAGATTATGTCGAGGGCTGCTGGCTCTAGCCAGGCAGCTTCGGCCTGCAGCATGCCCACGACAAGGCGGACGCGCGACATCCCACTGCTCTTTTGCTTCACGAAGCCCGTCGACCGCGGCATCCGCAGCCGTGCGGCATTTCTACAGCTTCTGTTGGGCCCTGGAGCGCCGCCACATCGCTATCTGTACCACCGGACATTGTGTCTTGGCCTTGGGCGACTCAGCCTCGGGTCGGCCTTCGGAGGAATGACCTTGGCTTTCTGGGCCGCGCTAATGCTGACGCGGCGCTTCCCCAGCAGGGCAATTGCAGCCAGCAGGTCGTCGTCCTTCTACGCTGTAGCCGTGTCATTGGCCTTGGGTGGCGCCGAGGTTCCAGCCCCCGCCTCACCCTTGGCGTCAATATCAGTTTTAACCTTCCTGCCGTTGCCCTTACCGTCGCCCGAAGTTTCGTCCGCGTCCGGGCCAGCAGCCGCGGCCAGAGCTTCCCGGCGGATGGCAAGGGGCGCGCTCTTGCCGCATTGACGGCACGACAGTCGGCTCGCCCACTAGCTCGCTTCGCTGAAACTGCAGCGCCACGGCGGCATGCGGGGGCCAGGCAACATTGTGCCGACGAAGCCAGCAGTCGGCCGCCACGGCGGCGGAGGCGGCATGCCCCACCACGGCGACCAAACAGTCTCTCCACCCGCAGGCGCACGCGGAGTAGGCTTGCCCTCGCGGCTGGGTCCCATCAAGAGTCGCTCGAACTTCCTCTTGCTGGCGGAGCCGTTCTGAATCACACCAGGAGGAGCTCCTCGCCCGCTGGCTTAGGAATCAGAGCGGCTACGATGGTGGTGATGGCGATGATGCTGATACTGATGATGATGATGATGATGATGATGATGATGATGATGATGATGATAATGATGCTGATGATGATGATGATGATGATGATGATGATGATGATGATGATAAGGAGGAGGAGGATCATGACAATGCTCAGGATGATGATGATGATGATACTGATACTGATGATGCTCAATAGTTTGATGATGTTTATGCTGATGCTGATGCTGATGATGATGATGATGATGATGATGATCATCATGATGATGATGAGGAGGATGTGGAAGGTGATGATGATGCTTATGATGATGGTGGTGATGCTGATGCTGATGATGGTGATGGTGATGGTAAATGACGATGGAGCTGGTTATGATGCTGATGCTGCTGTTGAATGCTTGTGCACCTTTGTTGCCCTGAAGGGGCCCTCACGGAGCCCCCTGTGGCCCAGAGGGTATACGAAGGGTGCACGTTTCTTTGCCCCCAGTTCCATCGCCCGCCCATCGAGGGGTATCCAACGCCGCGCGACATCGTTGGTCGAACGCAGTGTTCGATAGTGCCAAGACTCGGGGAACGAAGAATGGCATACGATGGGGGCGTTCGTTAAGGAATGTGCCCAGGGGGCTTCAGACCCTGGAGGGTTCCTTATCTGATGAGGTCGGCATCCATGGCCAATCCACGATTGGTGTGCTTCCAGACCCTGGATTCCTTATCCAATGGTTTCTTATCCACTGCCCTCCCCATAACCATGAACTTTCCGGAGGTTCACGCGGAATTATGGGATCGGCACTGGGCTCCCCTCTCTGGTGCGCGGAACGCGCCAGTGCTGGAGGCGCCGCCAGGGGGGGTCCAGCGCCGTCCAAGAGATCGGCGCGGACCTCCTGAAGTTCATGTGTGTCTGCCATTACTTGTTTTCGAGAGACGGCGCCGTGCGACGTCGGCATGACGGTATGAACGAAGGAGGTACAGAAGGTACGGGGACGAATGCCGACAGCAGTTCCAGCCCGTTTGGAACAGGGTTCTTTGTCGGTGTCGCCGCGGACGTTGTCCGCTTGACTCAGAAGGCGCCCGCCCGTCCAACAGAGGGCGCTGTCGGCTTCGGACAACGTGTGCTGTTGGGCATCGGGCCCACTTTTTCTCTACGCGTCCTTGGCGTGGCAGCATCGTCATCGTTGTCGCTGATCGTCCATTTGGGGGTGGGGGGGGGGGGCCCGGGCGGGCCGCAGGCGCAGCCCTCCCCGTGGCCGACGCTGACGACCCCGGTCGACCAGCAGGCGGTACAGCCGGCCTTCCCAACCCGGCCGGCGCAGCCGTACATGATGCGCCTCGGGGCTCGCAAGACACGGAGGAGGAGGAGGAGGAGGAGGAGGAGGAGGAGGGGGAGGGGGAGGAGGGGAAGGAGGAGGAGGAGAAGGGGAGGAGGGGGAGGAGGGGGAGGAGGAGGAGGAGGAGGAGGAGGAGGAGGAGGAGGAGGAGGAGGAGGAGGAGGAGGAGAGGAGGAGGAGGAGGGGGGGGAGGAGGAGGAGGAGGGCAGGGGGCTCGAAGAAGAGCAGGCGGCAGAGGCATGAGCTTTGGATGTCCGCGCAGAGTTCTTTGTTCGGCGCTGGTTTTCCCTGGCGGCGCCGCCGTATCCGCCCACTGGCCCGCTCCGCGCGCCAGGGAGGGGTGGTCAGCGCCGATCGGAGAAATCCTCTCGAACCCGTGTGTGTTTATTATTCTAGGGATGCAGGCCTCCCAGATGGGGTCGGAGTAATTAGATGGGGTCGGAGGATCGCGCCGCATCGCCGATGCATCGGGGATGCAGCTCGATGCGGAGGCTGGTTTTCTCCACGACGTCGCCGATGAGTCGCCGATACATCGTCGATGCACCAGCGATGCGGAGAGATCCTCCGACCCCATCTACTCGGACCCTGTCTTGGAGGCCTCCAGCAAAGGGGAGTCACGAAAGCAAAACCGCAGGCAGTTGGCTTCGGCCCCGCCGTCTGCCCTTCCCTCGGTGCAAGATCGTTCACGGCCGGTGCCTCGAGGCGCCCGGAAGACCAGTCGCATGCACTTCGTTTGCGAACCCCCCTTCGTCAGCTTCGTCCGCGTGGACGTCGTCGTCCTCAAAGTCGTCGGCCTCGTTGCCGAAGGTTCGATCGGCGCCTGGAGGAATCTCACTGCTGCCTTCTCTTGTCCCCCGTTCGGTTCCGTCTGTCGTGTCTGTCGTATCACCTCATACCTAACATGGCATGGGAGAACACCCTGCGGGTGCTTGAGGCCGTCCTGTGGCTCTGAGTGAAAGCCCGAAAGCAAAAATGAACCGCGGCGGCGGCGACGTCGACGGCGTCCTCTTTCTCGTCCCTCTTGCTGCGCCCTCCTTTTCGTTCTTCCAGCTGCCCCTGCCTTTCTCCCTGGGGTGTGTCCTATCTTGGAGAACCTGTCGGGAACTGTCCGCTCTGGGCGTGGCCAGGCCGTGGGCCTGGTGCCTCGTCGCGTTCCGTGGGCATGTTGGCTGCAGGACTGCCGCTGCTTACTCCGACTGCTGCCCCACGGTTTTTGCGTGAGGGCAAGAGAAAAATTGTGTCGCAGGGCCTTTGTCTTGTCAGGTTTTTCGTTGTTGTCGTCGTCGAAGTGCCACCTCCGGGTATTGTGGTCTGTCGGGGGCATCGTGGAGCCCCGTGGGGGCCTCTATGATGCCTTGTGGCGCTCTCTCGGGTCTTCGGGCGAAGTGCTCGAATTCTCCATTCGGGTTTCCCTTCGGACCCTTTTCGCGGGGCCGTCCTGGGGCCTTATTTGGTGGATTCGGTGGCCCTCCTGGGGCCCTTTTGGGGCGTCTGGGGGCTTTTTTGGATGCATAATTGTGGGGTTTCTTTGGGTTGATTTGGCTGGCTTTTTGGGCTGCATTTAGCCGCGTGACAAGCCAAGAAGCGAATGTGCTAAACTTGGGTGCCCCCCTTAGGGAACGGGCCGAGGTTTGCTTTTGGGAGCCTCTTGGGACGCGCCCTGGTGGCGCGTCGGGGCGCGCAGTGGGCTTCCGGGGCCGTCTGGAGGCAATGTCGGACGTTTTGGAGCGATCTCTTCACGAGTCGTAGCCCTTTGGGGCCGTCGGGGGAGCCCCTCGGGGCCGCCCTGGGGCCCTCTTCGGCGGCTGCGAGGACCCTCTTGGAGACCTTTTGGGCCTCTGGGGGCCCTCTTCGAAGCATATGGGGTTTCCTCAAATTGATTTGGGGGCTCCTTGGGTTGCTGTGGGCCTCGTGAAAGGCCAAGAAGCGAATGTGCTAAACTTGGACGTTTCCTTTAGGGAACGGGCTAGTAGTTGCTTGTGGAGAGCCTCTTGGGCCGCGCCCTGGTGGCGCGTCTCGGAGCGCAAGGGGTCTCAGGGGCCGCGTGAAAGGCCAAGAGGCGAACGCGTTGGAAATATGTGCTTTCCGTCGAGAACGGGGCGGTTGTTGCTTCTGGAAGGCCTCTTGGGACGCCTCTGGGCAGCGTCTTGAGGCGTCTTGGGGGCCTGTAGGGCTGTCAGGAGGCAATGTTGGACGACTTGGGGCACTGTTGAACGACTTGGCCCGACCAGGAGGCTTTTGAAGAACCTTCTCGGCCCGTCTTGGGGCCCTCTTGGGACCGCCCTGCGGCTCTCCAGGGCCGTTGCCGTGGTTTCTGTGGCCTTCATGGGGCGCCCGGAGGCCGTCTTGGAACCTTTTTGACAGCCTCTGGGGCTGCAGGGGGTCGATGTTGGATGCTTCTTGGGCCGTCGTAGGCCTCGTGGAAGGCCAAGTGGCGAATGTGCTGAAAATGTACATTTTCCCTAGGGAATGGGGCAATTGTTGCTCCTGGGGGCCTTGGTGGAGCGCCTCGTAGTAGCTTTTTCAAACGTCTCGGGGGCCTATGGGGAATCGTCTGCAGGCAAGCTGGGGCGGTTGGACCGAATCGCCCCCCTTTTGGGGCGTCCAGAAGGCCTTTGGGGACCCTCTTGGCCCGGTGAGGGGCTCTCGTGGGACCGCCCTGCGACTGTCCTGGGCCGGAGCCGTGGTTTCGCAGGCCTTCGTGGTGCGCCCGGAAACCGTGGAGGAGCCTTTTTGAGAGCCTCTTGGGGTGTCGGGGGTCGAACTTGGATGTTTACTGGGTCGTTGTAGGCCTCGTGGAAGCCCAAGAGGCGACTGTGCTGAAAATCTTACGTTTTCCCCGGAATGGGACGATTTGTTGTGCTTCTGGAGGCCCTCTTGGAGCGCCTCGTGGACGCGTTTTCAAACGTCTTTGGGGCCTATGGGGCCGCATGGAGGCAATCTTGGGCGGTTTGGACCGAATCGTCCCGCGCGTGGGCCGTCTGGGCAGCCTTTTGGGACCCTGTTGGTCCGTTTTGGAGCCCTCTTGACACCGTCCTGCGGCTCTCCCGGGCCGTTGTTATGGTTTCTGGAGCCTTCGTGGATCGCCTGGAAGCCGTCGTGGAGCATTTTTTTAGAGCCTCTTGGGCTGCGGAGTGTCGATGTTGGATGCTTCTTGGGCCGCTGTGGGCCGCGTGGAAAACCAAAAGTCGAATGTGCTGAACATGTACGTTTTCCCAAGGGAATGGGACGATTTTTGCTTCTGGAGGGCCTTCGTAGGGCGCCTCGCATTATTTTGTCAAGAGTGTTGGGGACTGATGGGGCCGTCTGGAGGCAATCATCGGCGTTTTGGAACGATCTCTCGTCGAGTCGTAGTTCTCTTGGACCGTCTGGGGACCCTTTTGAACCTTTTTCGTGTTTTTTGAGGCCCCCTGAGGCGCCAAGTGTGCGGCCGACACCTTTGCCCCCCCCCCCCCCCCCCTCCAAACTGGCCGGACCGGGCCCTTGGGGGAGGGGTTTGGGGAGGGGGAAGCATCTCACACGCCGTGACCCCAAGGGGTCGGCTGATTTTTATTTGTTGAGAGGCATTGCCTCTATGAGCAGCATTTGGGATTTGGAAATCACTGGGTGCATGATCCGATTTATGACCGCGTTCACCTCTGGAGGTTCGCCTCCCCAGCAGCCACCAAGGGGGCGTGCGTGGCAACCTCTGCCTCTCCCTGGGGGCGGAGAACAACTACCACCAATATTTCTTCATGCCGGGCTGCAGGCAGGATAGCCCAGGCAGTTTCAGGATTAGGACGACGGTGGAACCTTTCTAGAACGTTCTGGATCGGAGGGCCACCTGCACCTGGGCCCCCCTGCCGAGGCTGCCCTCGGAGGCCGACGCATGGCCACCGCACCCGCGCGCGCGCGCGCCGTGCCGGACCAGCTGGTTTGGATGGGGTCGTGTACAGGAATCGGGCCCCCAAGGGATGCCATTCTCGCGCACAGCCCCCGCTGCACGCTCTGGTGCCGGACCAGCGTGATCGTGGGGGTAGAGGTGTGCAGAGACCGCGTCCCCATGGTTGATCAGAGCCCTCACGTGGGATCGGCTCAAGCAGGGGTCGCAGGTCGGAAAGTGTTGGAGGCGCGCGCCAGGTTAGGAAGGGGCTCTCATGCCTGACGCAGCCAGATTAACTCATTAAGCCCGCGATGCGGCTGGACTAAGGTGGATTCAGCGGGATTGCGGGATTAGACCGAAGTCGGCTGTTTTTCACGAGGGGGCAGCGAGGGGGGTAGCGCGAGGGGAGCAGCCGAATGCAGCTTGCACGAGGGTTAAGAGTAGTTGTGTATTTAGAGTGGTACGCTTATGTATGCTCTTCGCCGTGCACTTTCCACCTTGGAACGTTCTTCGTTTGGGTCCATGGGGACTTGGGCCTTTTTATTGTCCCGCGCCTTCGGCTCTTCATATCCGGCTGAAAGAAGGCGGGAGCGGCTTCTAAGGAGGTACGGGCTTCTTAGAAACCATCCTGGCCTCTAAGAAGCCTTCGTTCTTCTTAGGGCCCTTCTAGGGAGGCTCATGTCTTCTAAGAAAACGCTCGCATTCTCAGAAGGCAGCCCCCACGCGCCGTCGTGCGCGCCGCCAAGGTAGTCCTGTGGATCTCGTGGTGAAGATCATCCCCCGAGGAGGGTAAAGCGCAGGCAGACGAGATGGGTAGGAGCCGCGGTGTAGGCATGTTTCGTCATTTGGCCGTTGTTCGTTATCTCCTTCGGCGTCCAGGAGAATTGTGAGCATGCGTAAGAGGACACAGTGTCAGCTAGACGAGGAGAAGGCGGTCGTTGTCGTTGTCGCCGTCGTCGTACAACTGCTCTCCCTCCTCGTCATTGCCGTCGTTGTCCAACGTCCGCGGTGGTCGTCGTCGTGGTCGTCCGCGTCGTCGTTGTCCAACTCCGAGGTACCAGATGGCATGCAATGGCGTGCAGGCGGCGTACCAGGTGCCCCAGCATATGCCACAGGCGGCGCACATGCCGCAGATGTCGCAGATGCCTCAGATGTGCCTGCCGCAGATGCAGCAGATGGCGCAGATGCCGCAGATGCCGCAGATGGCGCACATGCACCAGCAGCTCCACATGGGGCCTTGCGGGGGAGCTCATGGTTGCCCTGGTCAAGGCATCTGGAGACCTGCAACCCGCACACAACCGCCCCTGGCAAGGCCTGTCCTGCCGCTATCACCCGTAGGGGCGCGAGGATAAGGTAGGCTCGCGCCGCGTCAAGGCGGCGGCGACCCAGGGGTGGGCGTTCGATGTTTACATCGTGGGGGTGAGAACGTTTCGAAAATTGAGGTTGGTGGAAGCGTTTGTAGGTTCCCAGAGTTTTCCCAGCCTCGGGATGCTTTTCGGCAGATGCGCCTCGCCGAGGGCGTTCCGAGGGTGCACTGATTGCCCCGAACGGCCGCCGGAGGCCCGAGCTATGAGACGAAGACCACCGGGCGGCGAAGGGGGGCAAAGACAAGGGGGGGGGATCTCATGGCCGGGGCCACTTGTCTCCCCGGAGTTCGCGGCCGACTCTTCTTGTTTCAGCGCGTCCCCCGGTTCCTCCTCGGCCACGCACATGTCGGGGGCACCAGAGCCGTGTCGTGACGGACCGCGTGGTGACCCTGGATTCCCCAACGACCTCACGAGGCGGTCTGTCACCGCACGGTTTTAGGACTTTGGAGGCCACAGTCGTCCGATGCGTCCTCGGAGAACGAGCCGAGTTCCAAAACCGTGCGGTGACCCCGAATCCCCACCGTGCGGTCATCACACCGTTTGGGGGCCCTTACACATGCTTGGGGACACGATTTGCCAACTCTCGTCTTGGACGCACGCCGCCCGTGGCCCGGAACCGGCCCACATCGAACAGCCCGTGCAATCAAAACGCCATGATCGTTCAAGGCTGATCGATCATCCACGCGGTGTCAGAAGCCAACGATGCCGCTGGGCGCTGTCGCTTTATCGTAGAGGTCTCCAGCATGTGCCGCCAATCTGGGGCGCTCCCGATGTCTTTTTGTGGTCGCGGGCTGGCTGTTTTGCCAGGGGGTTGTTGGCAGCCGTCTTGTTTGGAGGAAAAATGTGCAGCTGTGCGCTTTAACTTTGCCGCCTGGGCCGAAGGGGATATCCGCACAGCGCCATGGCTCCTCCTCCTACTCCTCCTCCTCCCGCCTATGTCGGCACACCTCTCACACTTTTTGTGTCCCGATATAGGGTCTCCACCTGAGGCCCCAGTGGGAGTGTTCGCATGGCCTCGCCGCCCCATTTCGGCACACCCCTCACCCGCATGGCGGCCCCGCCCCACATCAGCACACCCTTCGCAGGCCTCGTGGCCCTATGAGAAGATCCACCGAAGGCGATACTTGCAACGACGGTAAATGATAATGTTTGTGAGTGTGTGGCTAACGTTTTGTCCTTTGCGGGGCTCGTCTGGGCCAATCTGATTATTCATCACGTTCAAGTAGAAGGGTGTGGGAGCATTGCCCCATCACGTTTCCTCGTCATAACTTCTTGCGATCCTGGGCCCCTGGATCCGCGCACGCGCCTACAGGGTCCATGCACCATTCCAGGGCCCAACCTGGGTGGACCCAGCTGGCGCATGCTTCTGTCCCCAGCTGGGGCATGCTCCTGTCCCAGCCATCCTGCAGCGTTGAATCCTCGTTTTGACGAGGCAGCGCCCCGCGTTCCCGCTCCTCCCTCCCCCCTCCTCCCATTCTTGCCTTTGCCTTTCGCACCAGCCAACCATTTCGGCACACCCCTCACACGTTTCGTGAAGACCCCCAGCGACTGCGCTCGCATGCGCCCGCCGCACCCATTTCGGCACACCTCTCACCTGTTCCGTGGCCCCACAGGGAGCTCCACGGGATCCACCGGAGGCCCCAGTGGCTGCGCTCGAATGCGCCGGCACACCTCTCCCACGTTGCGTGGACAGCTCCACCGAAGGCCCCAGTGGCTGCGCTCGCATGCGCTCGCCGCACCCATCTCGGCACACCCATCACACGTTTCGTGGCGCCATTGGGAGCTCCACCGACGGCCCCAGTGGCTGCGCTTGCATGCGCCCGCCGCACCCATGTCGGCACACCCATCACACGTTTCGTGGCCCTATAGGGAGCTCCACTGGAGGCCCCAGTGGCTGCGCTCGAATGCGCTCGCAGACCCATGTCGGCACACCCCTCACACGTTTTGTGGCCTCATAGGGAGCTCCATTGGAGGCCCCAGTGGCTGCGCTCGAATGCGCTCGCCGACCCATGTCCGCACACCCCTCACACGTTTCGTGACCCCATAGAGAGTTCCACGGGTGGCAGTATTCACAATGACGGTATTTTCAATTGCGTATGGTTGGGCCCCTTGCCAGGCTAGTTGTTTGCTGTCGATCCTCTGTCGGCGGAACCCGCGTTACCCAGAGGGGGGCGGGAACGACACGATTGCGCCTGGGCCATTTCGACATTTGTCGCCCCTGGCCATTCCCAGACAGCGCCGGCGCAAACCGTGACGTCACCAGGGGGGGGCAGTATCTTTGAAAACATTCCCAGCCTGCGGGGCTAGTTGTGGTGCATTGTTGCCGCTTCCCAAAGGTATGCCCGCATGCGCCCACCCGTGCATGGTCCAGCAGCCCATGGGATATGTGCAGCAGCCATCTGGTCTGCCACTGCAGCACCAACACCACGTGATTACATCAGCTTTCGCAGCGACTTCAGCGCCAGCCGCTGCGCAATGATCCCTCCTTGCGCTCAGTACAATTCTGTGCGCCATGATCATTCTTCATGCTGGCGCAACGGCCCGTCACCCCTGTACGACGGTGTCCATTTCAGGCGGCATTACGCGGCAACCCGCCAATTGGCGGGCGCGATATGACACGAGGTGTTGAAGTGTATTTGCCGTCGTGTTTGCTTGTCCGTATTTCTGCTTGCGTTTAACCTCCTGCTCCTCCAGCTTGTCGTCCTCCTGTCTGCCTGCCTGCCTGCCTGCCTGCCTGCATGCCTGCCTGCCTGCCTGCCTGCCTGCCTATTCGTTGTCCTGTCGTGTCTCAATAAGGACGAGAGCATCTCACGCACTGGGCAGCCTCGCAGGCCCTCGGATTTTGCTTGTGTATTCCAAGGGACTCGCCAAGGGACTGAGTAGCAGTGCCAATCGCAACTCAAATATTTGCGCATACATCTGCGCGGAAGGCCCCTTGGCGGCCAGAAGGCCATCCGGGTCGGCTCAGCCAGAACATGCGGAAAGCAGGCAACCAGTCGCTTGTTTGGTTGCTACCTGTTGGCTGCTATCTGCCTGCTGGCGCCAGCCCCCTGGCTTTTTTGCTGCCAGGGCCCTTCTTGCAGAACTTGCAGCAGACTTCGACACCCCGCACGGCGGACATGCGTCCAGCGTGCCTCGGCCGTGAGCCCGGTAGAGCCGGCATCAATCTTCCATCCTCGCCCTCCCGTCTGCTCAAAAGATCCTGGCCGTTGGTTGCGTAGGTGGGGACGGAGTAGGAGCAGGAGGAGGAGGTCAAGGAGGAGGGGGAGGAGGAGGAGGAGCAGGAGTGGCAGAATACAAAGGAAGGACAGGAACGGACGTCTTGAATGGAGAGCTGCGCTACGAGGAGCAGGAGCCGGGGAGAAGGAAACAGACACCCTCAGCATATCAATTGACAATATTCAGTCGGAAAGGAATTTGGGGCATTTCGCACTGTTGCTATTTCCGTCTTCGGTTCCCTGATGCAGGGGTTCACAGTCTTTGTGAGCACATTTTCGCTCTGGGGGTCATCGCAACCTGGATCGTGAAGTAGCGATTCTTATCCGTAAGGGCTTCGCCCCCTGCCGCCGGCCCCCTCTCTCGGAGAATGGGCAATGGAAGAGCTAAGTCATGAGGCCTTGGCGCTGTCGTGAAGCAGTATCGAAACTTCATGCGAAGCCGATTCGCAATCAGCAAAACCAACTGATCACAAGAGGGGTTACCACACCTGGCGATTGGTAAGACGTGTATGGTTTACGGGCTTGGTTACCACACCTTGCATTAAAGGGCCGAGGGAGTTCTCGCAGTTTGGGTTACCACGCCTTGCGATGGATGTGCGTGAGGGGTGGCACCGAATTTCAGAAATGTGGCAAATCCCTTGTGTTTTTGGACCCTGACCCCGCGGATCTGCGTGAGGGGTGGCACCGAATTTCAGAAATGTGGCAAATCCCTGTGTTTTTGGACCCTGACCCCGCGGATCTGCGTGAGGGGTGGCACCGAATTTCAGAAATGTGGCAAATCCCTTGTGTTTTTGGACCCTGACCCCGCGGATCTGCGTGAGGGGTGGCACCGAATTTCAGAAATGTGGCAAATCCCATGTGTTTTTGGACCCTGACCCCGCGGATCTGCGTGAGGGGTGGCACCGAATTTCAGAAATGTGGCAAATCCCCTGTGTTTTTGGACCCTGACCCCGCGGATCTGCGTGAGGGGTGGCACCGAATTTCAGAAATGTGGCAAATCCCATGTGTTTTTGGACCCTGACCCCGCGGATCTGCGTGAGGGGTGGCACCGAATTTCAGAAATGTGGCAAATCCAATGTGTTTTTGGACCCTGACCCCGCGGATCTGCGTGAGGGGTGGCACCGAATTTCAGAAATGTGGCAAATCTCCTGTGTTTTTGGACCCTGACCCCGCGGATCTGCGTGAGGGGTGTCGATTTCGAGCCCCCCCAGCAATTCAGACAACGCGCCCAGGGGGTGCTAAAAAATCTGGTTTGGGCCTCCCTCCCCTCGCGCGGTCAATCAACTAGTTACAGTAACCAGCAAGAAGCAGAAGTGTAACACTGGAAACTACAAACTACAACTGGTACAGGAAACTGCGAATCACGGGCCTACAGCCTGGTGGCCCCACAAGGGGGCCGGCGGATTCGTCGTGTTTGGGCGCAGCCGATCCAAAAGATGACCCTGATCAACGGGCGCCTCATGTATGTGGATGCGGATGTCAGGGGCCACTGTGCAGGATCGTTTCTGGCCACCCTCCCCATTTTAAAGTATGGCGACATCCGCCTGCAAGAGATGTACCCCATGCTGGCTAATACGAATAGAGAAATGCAACACCACGAGTATGTTCACACGAGCTGGGGGCTTCTGTTCGGCTGTCAGGTGTTGGCCTGATAGACATCTGGCCTGAAACGTGTTGGGCCAGGGGTTCCGGTGCGGGAACTAACGGGGCCAATGCGATAGGTCTCCCTGTAGCGCCTGGTTGTTTGCAACATCTGTTCCCCCCACGCCGCCTCGTGGACGAGCACCGCACACGCAGTATCAACCAGCAGTAGCAGCGACATAGATGCCATTACTGTTGATCGGTCGTCGTGGAAGTACGCGAGGGATTGCGGGGCTGTTCCAGATCTTGGTACTCAGTGTGCACTCATACCACAGGGCTGTAAACGTCGTGTTCAAGCTCCCGAGATGTTCCGCGAATCAACATGTAAAAGGACACTGGGCCGCTGGACCGCGCAAGCGCCGTGTTGACTGTGACAATAGCCAAGAAGAGCTCCAACATCGAACAGAAGTGAATCAAGAGGGGAAAAAACACACAGACACAATTAATCGACGATTCCCAAGAAAATATTGAAAATATGGGAAGTGGTGGGGAAGACAGAAACCTAGTAATTATGGGAAAATATGGGGAATGTGGTTATTTGTATTTATTTATTGTGTGTCCCAGTTCCCCTTCAATCAAGTTGGTGATCTTGGCTGACACGGACAGTTCTGTGTCCTGACAAGTGGGCCCTCTGGCACACATCATGGTTGAGGCCTTTAGAGCAGTTCGACCCACACTGCAAGTGGTGACACCCAGGAGTTCAAGAATCCCAGCGTGTCAACTTCAAGGGTGACGGCAGAGAAGGGTGGGTGGGAGAGAGGATCCAGGTTGATTGTGCTAGATGCGGCTGTAGTTCGCTTCTCGAACGGGCTGGCGAGCGGCGGAAGCTCGTCTAGTACCTGTGGCTCGTGTCCGGAAGGGTCAGGGTGCATCCCCAGAACATGCGCGCCCAGTTGTTCAAGATTTTGGGAGACGATTTTGCACGTGCACTCTTGCAACGTGCGTCGAGGGAGCGGGAGGGGGAGGAGGAGGCAGAGAAGTGAAATATGGAGGAGGAGGAGGAGGGATAAGGGGGTGAGGGGGAGGGGGAGGAGGAGGACCAACGTAAACCCAATATGATGAGGAGGGGGAGGAGGCCCGGAGGCCGTCAGTGATGCCTTTCCTCTCGCGGAGGCAGGAGGGGCCTCGAGGGAGGCTGGTGCACGTGTCTGACCACCGTCGGGGCTCGCGGGGAGCCCGGGGACCTCAGGAGGCCTCCGGGTAGGTCTGCGGGGGTGCAGTCGACACGCGGGAGACGAGGCCTTGCTGTAAGAAATATCGGGGCGCATCCTTCGTCGATCTTTCAGGGCACAACGGTTAGGAGCGCTGGCTTCGCGTGGCGCTACGCTGGCTCTGGGCCGCCACGCTTCCGCGCGGTTCGGTAACCACGTCCCCGTCCCCGAGCGTCAGCGTCCCGAGCTTTTCCCAGCCTCGCGCCTCGCGGAGCGGGACGACGCTCTGTAAGTTTGGAAGGCGTAACGTTTCGCCAGGGCCGCCGCCACGACACGCTGCGCAACAGTTCCCGACCGCGGCCACGTCATATTGGAGATCCTGCTGCGCAGCATGTCGGGCACACTCCTTGCAGGGCCCCCCAGGGTGCACCAGGGTTTCTCTGGTTCCCTGTGGCCGTCAGGGGGGAAAGACAGTTTCCGTGGGGCGCCTGCCGGCTGGGAAGTTCTTGACGTGCACACTGTCTTCGAGCAGATCGAGCCAGAGCCGTTTCGCTCGGTTGGGCGTCTGGGGCTCTGGGGCTGTCTCAGACTTTGTTCGGAATGAAACGGCTCGGGGGCATCCAAGAGGGGGGGGCAGGGACTAGGGTCGCGTGGAGCTGATGGCTTAATTATGTCTTCCCCCCCCCTCCCTTCTTCTCTCAGCACGCCACCCTGGCTGTCCCCCACCTCTCCTTTCGTACGCGTGCATGCCTCTGGCCACGACATGCGCGCACACACATACACACACACACCCTGTCCTCTCCCTGTGCCCTCCACCCCTCTCCCGCGCACACGATAGAGACGCTCTCGGCAGGGCATAATCGATCGAGAGACCTATGGGGCCGGATGTCTGATCGAAAGTGTGGACAGAAACTTGGGGTTCGTTCCGTCGAAGTGTCTTTGGGCATCGCTCGGGCGTGTGCATCCAGGACAAGTCGATGCATCCTCGGGCCTATAGGTTCTGGGTTGGTCGACAAAGAAGGCAGGGCGGTGTTCGATATGTCGAAGTGCCTTGGGGCATCGCCCGGACTTTGTGTGTGTTTTTTTCGGCGAGGAGCGTCGAGGAGCCTCCTGGTCCCTCTTACAACGCAATGTGCGACAAAAGTCGAAGCGTTCACGGGGAAGGGACGTCCGAGCGATGGCAGGGTGCACTGAGTGCCTTCCTGCACGCTCCATGTGAAGCGAACGACTTGTTTCATCAACTGCTCCACCCCCCTCCCGTCTTCCCATCCCGGAATCACCAGGAAGACCCCGGCGAATCTGCCGGCTCTTTCCAGGCCTCTTGGAATTCAGTTTCCGAGGTCTGGGGCCGTCTTTGGACGGTCGTAGGCTGTCTTCAGATCTTGTTCTCCTCCTCTTCATCCCTCATGCGTCGAAGCCCAGATTTCTCCTGCGGTGCGCTTTGACTAGCGTGTCGGATGGACTGCAGCCATGGCGACGAGAAGCCTCCCAGAGGTCCAGCCCTAACAAATGCATAGGACATGATATTAACCTTGGGTTTGCGAACCTCGCTTCGTTTCCCTCGTCTTCTCTTCTCTCTCCCTCCGATCCACCTGGACTCCTGGCACGTGCTGCCCCTTCGTCGCCACGCCCGTTGTGACCATACACCTCTCAGCGTCTCCCCCTCCTTCTCCTCGCCTCCTCCATCTCCACCTCCTTCTCCTCCTCCTCCTCCTCCTCCTCCTCCTCCTCGCCTCCTCTGCCTTTTCCACCTCTCCTCCTCGCCTCCTCCTCCTCCTCCTCCTCCTCGCCTCCTCGCCTCCTCCTCCTCTCCTCCTCCTCGCCTCCTATTCGCATCCTCGCCTCCTCCTCACATCCTCCTCCTCCTCCTCGCCTCCTCCTCCTCCTCTGCCTACTTCGGCGATCGACGTTCGATCCATGCCCATGCTGCTGCCCCCGTCTCTGGGCGCCGGGAGGGTAGCTGCAGGGACAAAAAAACTCGGACACGGTGGGGGTCTGAATCTAAGGGGGGCCCTCTCCTGAAATCCAAGGAGGGGGGTTCGAACGGGAGCGCGGCCCTCCCCTGAACTGCAAGGGGGGGGGGTCGAACGGGCACCTTTACCTTGAATTACAGGGTAGGGGGGGTTCGAACTGACCTCCCC